CTTATAAGTAATCTTCATTGTTATTATCATCTTGTTTATTTGTACAATACACACATGCTTTTCTGTTAATGCTTGTACAATATATAGTCCCTTTATATTTTCATTTTTATAATTACATTTCATTTCCCATTGATTTCTATTTTATCTTTGTACATCTTTGTGATTTTGTCTTTAATTCTATATGTTGGGAACTATATTGCTTTTATGCAATTTTGTAATTAAATTACTTCAAGGAATATGAAAAATAATATAGAATACTACAGTTGAAGTTTTATTATTATCGAAACACACAATGTATATTATTAATGAACTAGAATTTTTGTAACAGAATGGATGAAATAGTTTTTTTGTTCACAATATATTAAACAATAGAGATACCTTAAGTTGAATTTGAAGATACGAAGTACATTATATGCATTTAGTTTTGAATAAGAATTTGTTGATGTTAATTTATATAATATTATTAGTAATATATTAATAATATTATTATAGTGTAAACCCTTTTATCAAATGTTTTATATTTGATAATCATTTTTTATGAGCAAATGAAAGAGAAAACTATTATATTAGTATAAATATCAAAACAATAAATGTGTATTATATTCAGTTAATATTTGAATTACAAAGTTAATAATATAAACTAATGATTATTATATTAAATATTTATTACAAATTATAACATTATTCTTTATTAACCTTGTTATGGTTCTAGGTCAGCTTCTCATTTGAAATAATTTACAAGAAAGAGAAACACACATATTAGTAACAACTTGTTTATAATTTTCTTAAATACAGAAATATTCTTGAAAAAATGGTTATACTACTAGATTAGAAAGGATCTGAAGAATAAAATAGGGTTAATGGTTGAAGAGTGCAATGTACATTTCCTTATTCCATATACAGTTTGTAAACAACAAAGAAATAGCAGAAATATTGGAAGAAGATGAAGAAGATGCGCTTCGATTCTTAAATAAGCTGGAAGTGGAAGAATTTGAAGATATTAAATCTGGTTATAGAATTAATTTCCACTTCGATGAAAATCCATATTTCGAGAATGAGGTTCTAACTAAAGAATTTCATCTTGGTTCTTCTGGTGAGAAAATCTCTATGCTTTGTAAATTATATCTTTACGTTTTTACACAAATACAAATAATATTTATTAATGGAATTTTAATAATTTGAAATACTTTCTTGTATGTATTAATATTTTATTTCACTGTACTGAACATTATTAACTGTTCTAAACAATTGTTTTAAACAATTTGCAAATGAAGATTGAAATTATGTTGAACAATCATAGTTTTGATGTATCTCCTGCTTTTTTTGCAGGAGATCCAGCTTCTCAAAGTACACCTATACGTTGGAAAGATGGTGCAGATTTAACTAAAAGAGCAAAAACCAAAGCCCCATTGAAAGGTCGCAAAAGGCCGTTGAAACACAGGTCATTTTTTGACTGGTTTACGGATCATGGAGATCCAAGTTCAGATGAAATAGCAGAATTAATTAAGGATGATATGTGGCCTAATCCTTTACAGGTAAGATCTTTTGTTATTTAAGATATAAATGAAAAATTGTACGAATCCAGTAAGACTTTATGTTAGTTTCATATAATAAAATTTATTAATTAAATTATATAAAAGCAACGGTTATTAAACATGTATGAAAACAAATTTTAGTTACGTATTTTAAGTTTTTAAGTAGTGAGACTCACTTTTGAATTTTATTATAGAAGTAAGTCTATTATTACCTAATGTACTGTTATTAAAGGATATTCAAATATAGGTGATTAATATTTAATATACTTTTTGTTAGTATTACTTAGCCCCAGATATGGATGTTGAAAATGGTATTGAAGGAGATGGCGAAGATTGTGACACAGAAGAAGAAGAAGAAGAAGAAGATGGTGGGGCAGATGATGGTGATGAAGCTGGTGAGGGCGAAGAAGGAGATGACAGTATAGTTGTTGTCGAAGATGATGTTGACGAAGATGAAGAAGAAGAAGAGGCTGTGAATGATGAAGATGATGGGGTAAACGAGGAAGATGAATTATTAGTTGATGATGAAGTGGATCGTGAAGGTAACAATATTATTATCTTTACTGATTTATTTTAATGCAGCATTGAAAAAGAATTAACATATTATTTTGGAATATTTAATAAATTGTTATTTTAATTTTTGTTTCACAGATGGTGATGGAGATGAACCCGAATAAAATTCAAAGTTGATTTTTCATAACATTGGTTACAGTCATAGAGATTGAGAAAGGATCATTGAAAATACACATCAGATTGGTCGAAAATAGAAAAAGTTTGCAGGACTGAAACTATTGAGCCATATGAATAAACCTTGGGACAATTTTTGGAAAATAAAGTAGGAAACTGAGTTTAGCAAACCTAATATCTCTTAGCACGAAAGGATATCGCTTTTATGAAAATTCAATATTTATTCGATTGTGCTGAAAGTTATTAAGACAATGAGGGGGTCTGAATTAAACTAGATAGGTTTTACTGTTCACTTTGTTCCGCAACAGTTTCAGAATGCAGTATGAAATCCTTAGTTATATTCATATGGCCTAGTCATTCTTTATTATAATAGGCAAACAGATGAAAAACACCTGTTTAATTTTAACGTGTTATAACTATATTAAGAAAGAAGTAAATTATAAATCATGACGCGATGATGAACAGGTGTTTTTTCTTGTTTTGTCTCTTCATGAAAATCTATTTCATCACATTTCTTCCTGAACGAGGTGTTTTAAGTACTTTTTGAGAGTGACAGTTTACAATTATATGTCGAGATTTGTAGCGTCTTTGTTGTTACCGAGGGATAACTTTTAGACCATTAACATTAGGTAATTGTAAAAAGTTGTACTCTACTATTAGATTACATTTCTGAAAATGCTTTTATTATTTATTTAATACTACAAGATTATAAAAGAAGAAGAAAAAAACAATTTTATAGGTTCTCAGTAATTATACTTTAAAGTATGATCGAAAACATATCGCAGAGAATTACAATTTTATTAACGCAATAGTGTATTTAGACTTTGTGTATAAGAATGTATAAAACATTACCATGATTCATATTGTTATGGTTCGTTTTATTAATGTCTAGAAATTTACACTTAAAAATGTAGAAAGTTTGATAAAATCATCATTATTCCTATACATATATGTTTGTATTCCCTTAATACTTTAATTTTATGAAGAAATATTTGTATGTTTGTAAAACAATATATTATATTGCGTTTAACGTTACCGATTATAATATATTTACAAACATTTTTACATTAATATATTATTCATAAAAAAAGTTTTCTTGAATATCATGAATCAGCGTATTAACGTTGTACGATATAATGCATTCATGCATCTTCTGTTGAAGTATATGCAAAAAGAAATGGAGACGAATAAAATTAGTTTCATACATGCCTGAGGAAATGTTGAACCCAAAATTAAGAAGTAATTATAATAATTATTATTACTTATTTATATTTTTATTTATGAAACTTTTCAGTTTGTATGTAAAGGATAAACTTACCTTAACATCATAATTTAATAAACAATTGAGACTTGTCACGCTCAAAATAGGAATCAACTCGTTCTAACTCTTCCAGATTTTACACAATAAAATTTCCATTCTCGCGAAATGAAGATATATCGCAAACGTTTTCCCACGTATAGTTCGTCGCGCACTTCTAATTCTAAAGACACCTTTTCAAATTACTGTTGCGATTCAAAGGTGAAGTTAGAATCAGGAGTCAATTGTAACCCCTGTTATATTCCCCGCGGTGTGCCAACGAAGAACACATTGCGATCAATTTTAGACTTCGGGTGCAAGCAAAGGTTCTATCGAATGGTTCTTAATCAGCGTTTCCCTCTGGGATCTAGGAAAAATCAAATAATTACGCCGCTCAAAGTAGATAAAATATTTATACCTGATTTGATTATTCAAAACTATCCAAGGGATACACATGTTTTTAAGCGTAACCAGTTTATTAGGTCTTGGATAAAACAGTTTCAACATAAGGAACGATCTTTCGATTAATACGTGAAATTATTATGATATTATAAAAATCTCCTAGAATAAGATTCCTATTTTTCTACTGAATATTTAACGTTAGCAATGTAAGCAATTATTTGATTCCTCCTAGAAAGCGATAAGGTGCACTCATCTATGACATGTATTGTCATTAAAATTTAAAAAAAAACCAACTACTGTCCTGGAATGTCGCTGCGTAATTGATACGATGCGCGGTTGTAAGAGATGTATTAGCGCGATGAGGTGCAGGATATATTTAACGTTCAATGTCAATTTTAATCCCTCGTAGAGACACTCGAACCATTTACCGTTATTACCATATTATATTTAAAAAAACACAAGAAATAAGTAGTTATATCAATGATGTTCACTTAATATAATTTCTGGTGGTTCAATCAAGTTCATGTAAAATTTGAATTGACACTTCACAAAATTTTGATCAATTTATACTGAATCAAAGAAAAACATGCTAAGCGAAGAAAGTAATATAAGAATAAATATTCAAATCTATAAAATAATAGCTGATAATTATGAAAAGTGGCCGTTTTCTAAGAAAAGAAAAGAAAAGGAGAATTAAATGTTGTCCTTATGTTGCCATATTGCCATATCTAATTTATATATCGAAGAAGCATCACATATTAAAAATTATGTGTTAATATATGATAGTAGCTCGTCCATACTTGTAATGTGTTTATAAAATAGGGAGCAAACTGCATTGCGCTTCATAATTTGCACTTCTTTATAGTACGTACAGAAGGCAGCTGTATACATAAGTTTCAAATTTCTCAGGGGTTGAGTAAATTGATCTTTTATATATCCTGTACGTGAAATTAGATGTCGCGAATTCTCATGAAATATTAGATTTATTCTGTACCTCGTCTGCGGTATTATGTAGTCCTGCGAGTTGGCACATGGTCGCACAAAAGGATACCTGTGTCCGGGATGAATGAGTGAGAGTAGGCGAGCAGAGAGTAACGACACAGAACAACTGGGTGTATACATTTTTCCAATCAATCGACGTATTCGTGTTACGCAATCATACAGCAAATTAACGAAATAAAGTTGTCAGTTTGAGATAGGAATGAGTTTTTATATTTGAAATTGCTTAGCGATATAAGACGAACGATTGTGAGACATTCTATTGCAAGAAAATCGGTCGCAACGTTTTACCCGGATACGTTTCCTTTTGGTTTCATTATAATATCGCTCGTAAATGAATGGTTATTAAATTAAACGTATTGTTTCGTCGATTCTTACGTATTATTCTCGTACGAATGATTTTCCCCACAATTCATTGTAACGATTTCCGTTTTGTCGATAAAAATTGCATTCTGGTGGCACCGTTTTTCTCTTTAACATTCAACCCGATCGTCATCCCTGGTTTTCCCCTTCTGGAAAATACATCGATCATGTATTTGCTAAAAGCCTCGACTCGCTTTTGATTGTTTCGTATAGAAAATTGATCAGTTTTGTACATGTACAGAATAGAAATTTCATCTCGAGATTACATTATATTTCTTGGTAACACCACGAAACATTCGGAGATATCGATGTGACCAAGGAACAAAATTATACGAGGAAAATTAAAGAGGAAAGAAAGAAAGAAAATATACAGAAAAGTGTAACGAGAATAAGTGGTAAATATAAGATGCTAATATATAAGATTTTATTGTTTGTAATACGTGTTTGTAAGATGTAAGAAATTTGTTAAAAAAAACGTTTTTACTGGTATAAAAATTCTATCGACGTACAGGGAATCAGGGATGTGAAACGAAACGACGATTATCCGAACTTAATGAAACATTCGCAAATAAATTCTTCACAGAACAAGAGAGGATCGCCTTTAGCGTACTAATGATAAGCAGTCTTGACACGTGTTCATTATTTGCATCCCCATTTTTCGTTACAGTGGTATATCATTGAAAATATTTTTCCACGCTGATCTGCTGCTATTATTTACACACTGGTATACAGACGAAAGAATAATGTACATGGAAAATAAAGTTGATCGAGTAAGTAACGTGAACGTTTGAAAACCTTTAATAGATGACGTTTCACATTTTTATTTTTTTTTTTTGTTAGAATTAAAATATTTATTTTGATTTTTAGCATATTTCTTTATGATTTCAATCATTTTAATTGTATCCTAAAGATAACCAGCTAATTTTTTTACGCACTTGTTTATTATGGTAGACCTCTGTGAATGAAATAGCTGTATAGAAAATATTACTTGTTCAGGGAACGATAGAAAAATCTAGTTCGATGGCCGAAAGCTGAAGTATCGTATTAGATAGCTTTCGTAACTCTGCGATTAACTTTCCCGTTTGGATAATCGACGTTTTTTATTTCACGCGAAATTATAATTTTCTGTTTCATTTAACCGATGATTTGGCATATAACATTTCTCCTCGAAGATTTTCTAATTGATTTAATCGCAATGATACATACCCACCCTTTTGTGTTTGTAATAAATCGATTGTTCGAATCTGCAGTGTTTTAAACGGATTTAAGTGTAAAGATATGACTTACGTAAGTTTTAATAAGAATAGTGGATTCTCGTTTTCTAGGTGATGTACCGACAGGAAAGTTTTAGGAACTATATTTTACGATGCGTAGTAATTTATTGTGCCATTAGTGTTTACAAAATTTTTTACCGTAGTTTCTACTTTAATACTATTCACACCATCTGTACATATAGAGTAGTATTCTATTATTCTACTAAATTATGGATTTGAGGTAAATATTAATAAGTTATTTCTTTTTATACGACGTATCGAAGACCCGATGTTATAAGACATTTTACATATATCGGTATCGTATACAGTTATAAATATAGCTTTATAAGTATCGAGATATATTCCTGTAATGTTTCAATTTACAATTTTTGGTTTGATCGAGTATATTTTCTAGTGTGTTCAACGAAAGCGAAATTAGGAGAAAAAAAAATGAATTCTGAACAACAAATTGTATACAATTAAACATAAATAAGAATGATCTGAAGTGAATTTATCCTTCAATAAAACGAATGTACAATATAATTTGCACCACTATAGTTGTTAAGATACGATAAAGTGCTATAATCTTTTGATAAATAAATATGATAACACACAATAATCCTAAGATACGATTGAACAAACGTGACGAGATGGCATGGACGCGTATTTAATATTTATTATTTTACACCATTGTCATCGTAAAAGTATGTTCGATTAATTTTCATTTCTGACAATAAATTTATCTCGAATTAGTCGTTACTCGAAGAAGATATTTCAAACAAAATTTTAAACGAAAATATATAATTTGATATGAAAAATATAAAGGTATATAAAATGTATATACATTGTATAAAATATATATGTGTTAGCATTAAATTCTTATACATGGTCAGTACTCTTCAAATTTTCATAGTAACACGATATACGATCACTTTTTATATATTTTTTTTTAGTAATAAGTAAATCTTTTTCTTTCCTATTATGTTAATAACCCAGTTTAACCCGACGATATTGTCCTGTTGAAAAATGAAGTTATCTTAATTTGTATCTTCTGTTACGTTAAGGTAAGTTATTCTATTCATTCGATTTCCAACGCATAGGACGCCAATATATCCATTGCAGCTAATGACTACCTAAATCATCACGCCCACCCATTTAACAACACAGTTTCGATAAATTTTTTTGTACGCGATGATAATAATAATCAAAACCATTAGAACGACAGTTGAATCGTTTCTCGTCTGTAAATATATTATTATTGCATGCAATTTCCTCTGTCACTGTACATGTTTTGTACAGTTCAATTAATGTTGCCTGTCTGGTCTGATCCTAATACAATTTTATATTTTATTTTAAAAATTAGTTGAACTCTCGTTGGAAGTCAGATTTAATTAAAAAATATCCTACGATTAATAATATTACGAATTATTTTAAAGAACAAACATTGAAGATCTCTTTGTCCTGATTTATAGGGTGATGCATTAGAAACAATATAAAATTTGTTTCAATCATTTTTTAAACTCTAGATTTACAGAATTCGTTGATTCGATGGGTATTTTCATAAATATTATTTGCTAAAGATTTGTATCGATTTCGATTGATACAATTATATGAATACATATCCCGATTCTTTGTGTTTTGAAGTCCAAATTTTCAAGTTCTACGGGAATCAATATTTATTTTTCCATACATAGTACAATAAGGTATACAATGAATATCCTTAAACCGTGTGTTAAATACTTGATAAATATTCATTTTTTTAATTTATATTGTTTTTGAAGCTCCAATTTCCAAGATTCATATGAATAAACATTTATTGTTCTCGACACAATACAATAAAGCCTACACCAATGAATGTCCTTAAATCTACTGTTAAATAAAGAAATGATTATACAGCGAAATTGCGATCGGTCTCGCACCCGTTTCCTCGTTGGATAGTCTAGTCCTGTCGGTCGCGCAAAAACATCGATTACAAACATTCTTCGGATCGTCACAGTGAATCATTGTGAATCTGGCCGCTCGGCGGACTCGGGAGGTTTACGACGACTGAAAGAAATCCCTTACCTTCCTCGTATTATATCATCGTTACGTCTTGTCCGCCTGGACTTCATGGTCCTCGCCGGGAATACAAGTAGGCCGTACAAGTAGACACATGTTGCTATCGAGGAGGACGCAAAAAAACGACATTTCAGGTTCAAACGGAGCGAGCGTGCAGACAGCCGGCGAAATATTTGACTTTTTCACAAGGCAAGACATTGTGACTCGGATGTTACACGATCGCCACGGTGTTGCGCGTGTCACGGTCATCGCAACCTCGTTAACTTGATGATGACTGTCGGTCTATTGGCTGCTTTTCGTGGCACACGGCTTCCTTCGGCCTTTGCCACCGGGACTAAATCGAAATTATCGACGAAAAATGTCGAAGTTCCTTCTAAGCCGTTAACACGTTGACGAAAAACATTTTATGTATCACTTATTCCTTCTGTGGCAAAGATAAAAAGGAAGAATTATTAATTATTTGGTACCATGATTCTTACGTTACACTATTACCTAGTTATTTACGCTATTGAACATTTTTATTTGAAATCAGTTTTGTCGTAATTATTTTTAAGCTTACTAATGTTTCATGTTTTAAGATTAATAATTATAATTGATCACAATTTATAATTATTTTCTTGTACTTTGGAAGCTGCGGTCATCAGTGACTGCGGTGGCAATGTGTTGACCCTTTGTAAACGAGGATTTTTCAAAATATCATAAACCTTTTCCATAAGAAGCTAAACTACACGTCAATATAATAAATACTAGAAAAGAAGAAAACGCAAGACAAAAATTGAAATTGCTAATGCAAGTGCGAACACGAGTTAACTTACGATCCTGTTGCACCCTCTACACCCTCACGTCGCCACAGCTCTGTATAACAGTTTCAAACAGTTATTTTCGGAACCTTTTCAATCCCTGATCATAACCAACTGATTGATACGAGTAGGATGCAGTTTTTCGAAGAATGATGCATTTCCAAGCGAGAATTTCGTGTGAAGGATCTCTGATTTCAGGAAAATCTATAATTCCGTGGGCACAATGCCGATTCTTCATCATCGGCACAAAGAAGGAGAATTTCGACGATTCATAGAGCAGAGAAAGGAGGGGACGACACAACACAAGATCTACCTCCTACGGGCGTTACGGAAATTCGCGAGATCAACAAGGCGTCTACTGTCCACGGGACACCCGACAAAAAATGGATCTTTGTGCTCGTGACAGCGAGCCGGGAGCACATGCCGCAGCCTGGAAGTCACGAGTGCTGTGGCGAAGACGCTGTCGAAACTCCTGGAGGGGACCGCCTTTTGAGAAAGAAACACGGTAGTTAGTAGCGATGGGTCTAACAGCCTCGCATTATTACGGATACGGGTGGAACCTCCATTATCCGATTCGATTGGGCGACTTACGATTTAGGTGAACGAGGCATGTTCTGTCAAGTAAATCAATTCTTGTAAATGAACACGTTAGGTTAACACGCTCGCTACCAGTGTCAAATATTTGTGACGGCAATGTTGTATTTTACATAAAGAAAATTAAATTATTCCTGTAAATATTGCTATTTGAAGTTATAAACTACGGCATTATATTTGGGGACTCAATGACTCGTCTCAGTTTACATTTCTTCGTCATCGAAACAAACGCTGGTAGAGAACGTGTTAAATATAATAGAATAAGATGGGGTAGAAACTTGATAAATACGTAAAAAGACATTTGAATATGAAGAAATATACAAATTTTCAAACAAATTATGATAAAGACTGCCATAGGCTGAACCAGAAGTCATAGTATAACTGGATTAAGGATTTTATACGAGAAAGTGAAGCAATAAATCTAATATGAATAGAAAATGAAATTCTCTGGAAAAATTAAAGAAATAAAATATAAAAACATATAATTCCTCTTTAATTTGATGGATAGAGTTATTTATAAGAATAATATTTTCAACCTCAAGAATATTCATGACACGATAAAAACTATTGAATATTTACTAAATACTTGTATTATTCTAATCATATTAAAAACTGTCCAACAAAAATCACCTTCGTTCAATGAGTCATCCTCGCTAAGACTTAACACATTGCGTACCGACTAATTTTCAGAAAACTGAATTGCGCGGATGGCAATTTTCACTGAGGTCAGCTTATATCGCTATACATAGAAAAACTCAGATATCATATTGTCATGTAATATATTTTAAATAGATAATAAATTCGAATCAAATTTTATATTCTTTTCAATGCTGCGATAATTAGCGAAGTTGCATAGCTAAGTGTCTTTATATAAAAACGAGATTTCTCGTTACCAGTACGCGATGTGTTAACATCTACCCTGTACATTAACCCTTCTAATCCTTTCGCGAAACAACTGAATTATACACATTAACGGCAACACACACACAAAGACAAATCATTTCCATTGCTACTAGCCTGTGATCGTTGTGATGTGTGCGCGCCCACGCCGGTCCAGAAGAGACGAAGAAAAACGATCCACGTGACGGAGAAGGAAGCCTTCAAGGGGAGAAATGAGATGCGCATAGAAAGGTGCAGAGAAGAAAACCGTGGTACCGGCGAACGGGACGATTCAATGCACGCTGAGCGCTCGGCCGGAGCGCAGGCGATCCACGAGCAACCGTTCCAGCCTGAGTTTGCGCTGGGTACCGGGTACCGGTGGAAACGAACGAAAGAATTCCCTCGGGAATCACGGGGAACGAGTGCGACGATTCGCGAGGAAGACACTGGTTTCATTCAAATCAAAGAGGGAAGATGACACGACACGTTCTACCCTTATTCTTGCTGCTCTTGGCCATCCAGTTGGAGGAATTCTTCCCTTGGAAGCGAGGTACTGTAGCACATTGTTGATTTGCTTCTTTGTTCTTAACACAATAAGATTCGTCAAAGTATACAAAACCTTCTGCAGATTCTGCCAAGTTATATAACGAACGATTAAACAGAGAATAAGAAAACTGTGCATTGATTTCTTGCTGTTTGAGCAGTTAAATCATTTGCAACTTAGTATTCCAAACGTGAAAGCTTGATCTCGGCAAAGTGTCGACATTCGTCTACAAAGAGTTAATCCGTCGTGCTGTAATAACGAGTTAGACTCGCGATGAGAATTTTTAAGTGAATTCGATAAATCTAAGTGTTGTTTGTTTATTTCGTATACAAATGAAATATTACTTGGCTATTAGGAATCTTTAAGTTTTCAAGTAGATGTAGACATAGACTGAGCGTCAAATTTTTGTGCTTTTTTGTGAAATTATTAATGATTAAGTAGTCTTATCGAGCGCGGTTGTGAAATAAAATGTAGAACAAGGGGTTAATAGTTGACTTGAATGTCTATCGATGATTAGAAAATCTTGAAAGATATATTGTTTTTTTTTGTTTTATAGTTAGTTGTCGAATGTTTTCATGTCATTTTTCAATTGTTGATAGGAAAGTGTTAAGTACCGGAATTATTTGAAAAATCGGTAGCTTCATTTGGATATTGTAATGAATATTAGAATTGGAAGGAATATAGAACAAAGTCTGTTGTAATTTTTATAATAATTATTTGGTCGTATTATAAGTATTCGGTGATTCTAGTGCTCAAGGGAAATTAGTAGACTTATTTTTTGAAAATTATTGGAACACAGAGTTTGTGACAATATATATTTTTATAGGAAAACCGAAAAGAACTGAAATTAAGTGAAATATTTTTTTCTCGTTATTCATTTCGATATTGAATGAATATGTAAATTCGTTAAACTGTATACTTAAAAATTGTTTAGCTTTATTTGACCGTTAATTTACTGAAATTATTAACGATAAGTATAGAATTTTATTTAATATCAGTTCCTTTAAATATCTTTAGAATTGTATATTTGCATGGACTTCCTTGGTCCAATTATTACAATCGAAAAATGTATTATCCTTATCTTATAATGTTAAGTCAAGCATAGCAAAAGCTTTGATTAAATAAATATTATTTAATTCCATTTTTGTAATAATATTAACATTTTTTAAAATGATATTTAATTTAAAAATGTACCCTCATAATGGATACATCATTTCTTTGTCTATCGGAAAATTGTTAGTAATAAATTAATTCTTACGAATATAACCAAAAAGAAAATCGCGAGACAAAGGATTAAAAAGTTTTTTATTGTGAATCGCTCTTAAAAGATTATCCACTGGACAAAGTGTTGACATAATTACTAAACAAAGATCGGATTAATTAAGTTTATTCGTCACGTTTTAAATATTCGCCGCGGAAAGACAACCAATGGAATATTCATCGGAGGAGTCGTTCGTTTTCTCGGAATCAGCAATTGATGATGGCGTACACTTGCTAGGTGTAGAATCGAGCTGAACACTTCAGGCAGAATAATTTGACAATTAAGGTTGATGAATGTTTGAGAAACAATGTAGTACATTGTTACGAACAATGTTTTTGTATTCAATACTGTACAAATCGTATTTCTCGAACTCAACTTATGTTAATTAACGTTTATTACTAACACTTATTACTGTTACTTATAGTAACCTATTTAAAATGTAATTCAGAAAAGTTTGTACAGTTTTACATTTACTTTCGAAAAGTTTCTACTCTTAATATTAATGAACTGAAAACTGTACGTCGTTTATTTGATTTAATTAATACTATTTCTACCGAGGGCGTCAAAAATCACCTTCTGAAATTTTATCTTAAAATTATTTTTCAAGTTTAGTTGCATTTTCTGAATTGACTTTTCAACTTTTCCAATGACGATTCTGAAATTAACTACAGGAAATGTCCAAAATTCAACGGAGGAAAAATGATTAAACTAAGAAAACAATTATAAGTTAAAATTTCGAAAAGTGTCATTTAACACTTTCGGTAGAAATAGTGTTAATCTTAACAGGTTGTATAATTTTCCAATGAAACCGCAGTGCATGCGTGCACATGTCACCCTTATCACTGAACAAATCACGATTTTCCTCATAGCTACTTGACATGTATACTTTCTACTGATTTATTGTGGTTTCTATTTAAACGCTGCTGCAGAATCATAGTTACAAATAGATAGGCATCATCACTATACGATCCAACACAATCCCCCACCTGAAAATGCAACTTTAGTTAAAAAATAGGAAATGTGATTTTTACAAAATTTCACAAATTCGATTCTCCTTTTCTGCGACTTTCGAAGTGATATAAATTTAAAAGAAATTTGTGGAATTGTATAATCGAATGAAACGTTACTCATTTGAAAGGAATGTATATAAAAAGTTCAAAGAAGGAATTGATTGACGATGATCAGTGAAACTTTATAGAGTCATTATCATTTTCTCCCACGTCCCTTTCATACTTTGTATAGATATATTTAATGGATCTTATTAATGTGATTGAAATCGTTTAATGACACAATGGAATTAAATTGTCGCAACACTCGCATTATTTTCCTACTGTACCGTATTCTTTTTTCTAAAGAAATCGAATTAGGTGTATAGGAACGTTTATTATTAGGAACATTATTGTTTGTAAACAGAATGTTATATTTATAATTATTTAACTCAAATAATTTTACTTTTTTAGTGTCTATTCAACTGAAATGAGACGCGTTGAAAAATAACTTGCCCACGATTTATTTGCAGTTTTCAAGAATTGTTTGATCGCGTTATATATAGCAAAATATAAATGATGATATGTTAAACAATACTATTGTACTTATATTGAAACAATCAAACCAATGTTTAATACATTCAACAACTTTTATACCAGGTATAATTATTAGGTTACAGATTTTTACGCATTTATGGGGATTTCAAAAGTATTAGTTAAATCTATGTTCTATCAACGTTTTTTTCTAATCATATTCTTAAAAAGTTGAATTTACATAAAGATCAGCAACCTAACAGTTATAGTTATGTTGTAATTTTTTTAAATTGAAAACTTTAACGCTGGTGAAATTAGAATTAATTTTCCTAAAGAGATCCCGTTGGAAACAATTCCTCTTATCACTGCGTTCATTTCGGTGACAAGAAGTATTTGTTCTTCAAGTCAGGCGAGGGTTTGCAAAAATGTCACGCAAATAAGAGATAACTTCGTCAGGAGTTTACTATTGTTCCCGAAGCTAGGATTAATTTGTAATTTTCCTGTTTTATTTCCTCTTTTGTACTGGAAATTTTAATTACGAAATCACAGGTATAATTAAAACGCTGGATAGTCCGAAAATAGTTGGTCCTTCGATCGTATTATATGATTATTAATCGTCTTTGTTGTAATCACATAATACGTAGAATATAAATATTATATAATATTATAATTATAATTAATATAAAATTGTTAAATATTTACAATACTGTATAATATAAAGTTATTATATATTATAATTACAATTATATAATTGGATAACGTTTATTAAAACGTTTCAGCGTCAATTGCAGGAATATTCAACACCCCATCCTATTTACACATAGAAAATTAATTATAATTATAATCATATAATTAAATAAACAAATATACAATTGTATTCGTCTTTCATTTAGCTGCTGCTGATTTACAATCAGCACCGTTGCATTTCGACGATAGGCAAACTGATGAAAGTGTTGAGTTTATTATTACACGAATGAAAATTTGTTTTTTAGCTCCAACTTTCGCTGACGCAAGGATGGAAGCGCAGTTCGAGAAATGCTGCGGCCTGGGCACCTCGTGGGCCATAGAAGGGCTCGGGTGTGAAAAGTTCACGGGCCCAGTATCTGGGGTGCCAACAGTGGAGCAAGGTCTCTGCTTGGAGGCTGTAGACATTTGTTGCGTGAGAGCGTATCACGAACGACAATGCGAGAAAGGGAAGTCGGATGCACGTGCTGGTTTAGCATGTGTCTCCGGCACCAGCACCAAAGCGAAACGCACAGGACCAGGCGATTATCATCGCGACTGCTGCGAGGCTTGCAAATTAGGTACATTCATTCATCGAGTGCTAACTTTCATTACTGAAAATCATAATGGCGTAAGGAATGAGATAATTGGTGAGAAATGAGGGTAAGAATGAGGGAAAGAGGAAAACCTCTTGTGGAAATGATCAAATTATCAAACTCTTATCTTTTAATTTCATTTTGAAGTTCAGTATGAAGTACCTTCAGAACGGGGGTAAGGTTTTTTCGTTTACAGAAAGTAGTAACTTCTATTTTATGAATTTAATTTCAAAGGTTTCTATAGTAAGTGACGTCAGAGTTGGGATAACACTCTTTTCTTTCATGGAAATGATAATTCTTATTTTTCAATTTAATTTCGAAGTTTTGTATGTTAATTGACGTCGGAATAAAGATAACACTCTTTTCTCTCCTGGAGGTGATAATTTCTATTCTTTAAATTTAATTTCAAAGTTTATTATGTTGACTTCTTTTTTTGTTCACTCGAAGTAATAACTCGTATCCCTAAATTTAATTTCCAAGTTTTCCGTATTCTCTATTTTATGATGTGAAGTTTAATTTTCTGAGAAACAGGCTTCACATTGATTACACCATTATGATTAGCTCAGCGCTCCATATACTTACAGCCAGCGTTTAGGAGCATAACGAAACTTTAGGCTTTTAACTGTGATCAAATTGAATCCTTTATAGTCGTTTAAATCCTATTCCAAACTTTTGCGTATTAGTGCATACTACAAAGTGTCCACAATTTATCCATTGCTAATTCGTTAACACGTTGTCTATCAGTGTACAGATTTCATAATAAATATTTCAATAACAATACCAGTTGCAATCCTGATTCAACAAGCCATTCTGGATATCATAATCTAATTACTCTTCCTTAGGACTATAATTAAACAAAAGTTATTCAGCTGCTTTTTGATATACACTTATTAAAAAGCCTATTAACGCTAGAACTACTAAGCATTTAATACGATTGATATGTAATCCCTACAAAAATCGTAGTAATAGATTATTTTCAGTTTCTTTACGCGTTCATTATAGTATTCAGGTGAAACTATTCGTTTTTATCATTTCGAATATTCAATGCTTTGAAGATATCAATAATTGCGAACCAAGAAAACGGAAATCAGTCAATTTGCTCGTTATGGTAGCTCTAGTGTTAATAGTCGTTCGGTAAATAACGTGTTAAAATCATTGCTCCAATTTCCACTTTTTCCAGGTATTTTAACCGGGTCCATGGGCCAGGGATGCTCATTTAAAAGGTTCACGTTCGGTATCCCATGGGATCCAGCATTTCTGGAGTGTTGCTACGAGGCGTCACCTACGACCACAACAATGCTCACTTCGGATTCTACGAACGCAACCTCGACAAGTGAGAGCACTGAAACGTCTCCTTTATCGTCTCCTTCGTCATCTTCTTCGTCGTCTTCTTCGTCGTCGTCCTCGTCGTCGTCTTCGTCGTCGTCTTCTACGTCCTCCACCCAGACGACATCAGACATTTCAATTCCTACACCACGTAAGAAAAACTTACGTTTTGTAAATTATTTTATTAGAAGTTACCTGTTGTCGAACAGTATTGAATTTTTAAGAAATTCCTAACGCGATCGAAGCTGTTCAAAATATTACGCTCATGTGTATGATGTAGGAATGTCCGAAACGAATAATTAAATATGAATTAATACGATTAATATGATCAATATGATTATGATTAATACGTAATTCTTGTAAAAACTCCAACAATCGATCTTTTTCAGTTTTATTACATATTGATTATAGCATTGAAATTAGACTATTTATTTTAAAAATTATTCAAGATATTTGACACGCTTGAGATATCAATAACTGTGAAATAAGAAAACTGAAACCCGCCATTTTGACGGGTGCGGTAGTTCTACCGTTAACAAGACCACAAACAAGAATGGAGAGATATTAAACAAATTAAAGAAATAAGAAAAACAATAAAAAATATTAAAAAATAAAAAACCATTATAATTTCTCATTCAATTATTGCTGAAACTTTTATTATGTTTTAAATATTCGATTACCTGTACATAACAAAGTATTATTGTTTACACAAATAATTTACAGCTCTGGACGACATCTGCCAAATTATGAAGGGATTGTTGTGTTCCGATATTTGCATTCCTACGCCAGGATCTTATTATTGCAAATGCCGAGAAGGTTTCACTTTATTAGAGGACGGGAAAACTTGCAGACAAGATTTACCGTCCGACAGGTAAAATTTTATTTGTCGTTATTTTCAATGATTACTATTAATTAATATTAGTATCTCTAAAATTATCTGTAAAACTAACTGCACTGATGCGTAAAAATGTATGAGAGTTTCACAGGAGTATGCAGCGTTAAATATCATTTAATTTTGTCCTACGACATTTTTCTCTGGTTCAATATCATTTAATTTTGTCCTGCGACATTTTTCTCTATTTCCAATCTTTTCAAAGATATAGCTGAACCCAGTTTTGTGCGACACCCTATATATCACTGCTGCTATGCAGCTTTATGCATTTTCAATACACGATCTCCTAATTGAATATATTTAGAAACTTGATGAACTTTACAAATTTCCTTATTTCATTCGGAGCCAAATGGAATCTTTAACGCTAAAATTACCGAGCAATTAGATCGACTTATTCCTAAGTTTTTATCAAAATTAGTACAATATATTTCCTTGTCATAATTCAAATACTTGCAAACTAAAGATTCTAAAGTAGGTCAATTTGACCGGTAGTTTCAGTGTTAACACTTCGCCTTATGAATATCGATTCAAATTCAGGATGAAGATGTTACATTCGATTAATACGTTTTCCATAATATTCTTTGATTTATCAAAATTTCCATTGTTCCATTAATTATGACTAGACAGCAGAAAAATGGAAAAGAATCCAATGGTTGAAACAATGATTCATTGATTACTTTAGATGCAAAACGAGTAACCCGTGCGAGCAACGATGCACAGACAACGGAGTGGCAGTGACATGTAGCTGCGATCCTGGTTATGTTTTAGCGAACGATAAACATTCTTGCATTCCCAAGTCAGACGAGAAGAACACCACTGAACCAGATGAGAACATCGATGCGTTACCGATTTGTCCACCGGGCTATCGTTACAACGCTACCAATCAGGTCTGCGATGGTAAGTGTTAAAGGACAATGAAATTTTCTTCATTTTATTAATTAAAAAAATGTTTCCTCTTCCACATACTGACGACGACAGTAATCTGTCGATTGCTTTAAATTACATCTAGTGCACATGGTGCATGTTAATAAACAAAATTAAACTATGCATTTTGAAGAATTCATAGAATAAAAATTATATATTTTTATTTAGCTAGGCAGGTAGCCTATTCTGGGACGAATTTACAAAATTCGTTGACTTACGATCAGTTGGTCTTTGAAAGTCATTCAAAGTCAATTACGATTATGTATGAACCTATAAATATTATGTATAATAACATCGTGTATATTATTATATTAATAATATTATATTAATATTATATTAATATTATATTAATATTATATTAATATTATATTAATATTATATTAATATTATATTAATATCATATTATCAGGAACATCTGAAAGTGCAAAGTTGCACAGAATACACATAACACGAGAAAATATAAAAATCATTCAAACTATAGTGGTTTTTATAGTAATTGTTAGAAAAAACCATTTTCTATGCCAAAGTATCCTATTTTTCTAATTACGTTCTTAAAAATTGAAATTTGCATGAAGATCCGTATAATATTATATATATTATTATATTGTACACAATATTATCATATATATTACGTACACCATATATGTACATTTGACATACATCGATTTCAATTTCTTCATTTTCAACAATGTCTAAACATCATAGCATTTACACGTGCTTTACGAAACGAGCTTCCTCCTTTAAATGATACCTCATCTTGCATTGCAATGTTGTTATGTCCGTGTCGCTTTTCGTTTGCATTGTGTATCCTATTGCTTAGATGTGAACGAGTGTATTGAAAAAGGTCTGTGTCCTGGACAGTGTGAAAATACTATAGGGTCTTACGTGTGCGTGTCAAAAGATATGCTCAACAATGTACCGTACGAAGATTGTCCACCTGGGTACCAATGGGAATCTGTCACTGGTCTTTGCACAGGTATGTTTCATATTATTATAGAATATTTGAGTATGTAGTTGATAAAACTTCGATAAATGGAAAAAATGAAAATAAAAATTGATATGAAATGAAATTATAGTTACTTTGACGCTTATAAAATTATATATTAATATATTATTCGACTAATATATGATTGTACATTAACAAGAATATATTTATAAGTCATATATTATAAAGTAGTAATATAAATTTACATATTAATATATTGTTGCACAAGTATACTTCATATTATTATAAAATATCAGAGTATATAATTCGTACAGAGTCAAGTTTAATGAATATCAATCTAAGTTTCGATAAATTAAAAGAATAAAAATTGAGAATTGGTATAAGAAGCAATCGGAGCTACTATTACGGGTATAAAATTATATACTAATACAATAATATAATAAATACGAGTTAAATCCTTTCAGATATCGATGAATGTGTTATATTATCAGAAGCATGTCCCGCTGACAAAAGCTTTTGCGTTAACACCCAAGGAAGTTTCAGTTGTCTCGAAATGAAAGGAACAAAATCCTGTCCCGCCGGGTTTAAGTTCGATTCGTTATCGCTACAATGTAAAGGTACAAATGTCGGACTATAAAATCTATAAAGTGACGTTAAAAAGCCTGATCCTTGAGGAATGAAATTTTTTAACAAATATCACTAAACCAATGAAAATTTACAGATGTAGACGAATGCGCAGAAGGTCTTCACAGTTGCCTCGAGGACAGCGAGGAATGCAGGAACACCGAAGGGGCTTATGAGTGTGACATAAAATGCAGGAAAGGTTTCACCTACAGTATTAATTTAGGCGTTTGTATCGGTAAATATTCCACAGCATCTTCATACATTGTCAACATCCTTATTGCTTAATTGAAAGTAGTTCATCCGTTTCCTTCAGCAAACTTAAATAATTAATTTACTACAACAAACTTCTCCACTTTTCTGATGCATTAACTTTTTCCTGTAGGCATGTGCATGCTTAAATATTCAACGTCTTAATTACTTAATCGAATAATTAGAAACTATTGAAAGCGCTCGTACACGGGTATACATTGACAAGATAAACCTGCAATAATAGTAACGCATTTCGATTACATAATTTGATATTAGATTATTTTCATTTTATATATTTTTCTCGGCAAAATCGTGCGGCACTCAACGTGTTAACATTAATGTCTGTAACTTGGAAAGACAAGAATTTTCCGAAATTTCTATGGATTTCGTTTGTCGGTAATTGATAACTGCTTTATATTTTAGACGTGGACGAATGTGTCGAGGCAAATAATGCTTGCCCAGAATTAAATACCATATGCAGAAATACGATAGGCGGCTACGAGTGTACACCGGCGAACAATTCATTGCCGCGACATTCCCTTGACCAAAAGACGGAACCGTCCACTTGTCTCGCGGGTTACAAGCCGGCAGATAATCTTAAAGAAGCTTGCATCGATGTCGACGAGTGCAAGGAGCAGGTGCACTCCTGCGAACCAAACGAGGAGTGTATCAACGAAATTGGCAGTTACAGGTACCTTTTAACCCTTTGAACTCAGTAGGCTCCGATATTGCGCCAGTTATAATATCAAATATTTTAACGAATCAAAGAGACTACCCTAAAATTATTAGATTTTCCACACATCCAAATTTTGTACTGAGAAGGAGAGTAAAAGACCGAAGGGATTTTATAGCATTTTTCATTTTCACTGGAGATACCATAAAAATTAGCTATTTGGTTGGATAGAGTAAAATTACGAAGTTTGACGTACAATATTAATGCTCATTTAACGTAATTATCCCTGAAACGTTAAAATAGAATAGTTTTATATTAACCCTTTTCGTATTTTGAAAATATGAAAATATGATTTCATAGAGTAAAACTATAGAATTTGATATTTAATATTATATTTCCTATAATGCATCATTTTGAGAAATATTCGAATAAAATAGCTTTGTTCCTCAATGTACGCGTGATTTCTCGTCGACTTAGTTTCACGAAATATCCATTTCATCTTATCAGAAAATGTTAAAATATTTCTAGTGAGAAACTTCCGAGTGCAAAGGGTTAATGTCAGTTATAAAACCTATCATTGATACTTCAGTAGAAAATGAAGAATATATCTAGCGAAAGAATTTTCGAGTGCAAAGGGTTAACAGTTTTTGACGAGACAAACACGACAAAGCTGTTTTATTCCAATATTTCTCAAACTGATGCATTACACGAAGTTTAATATTAGAACGTGGAAATATAGTTTAAGATATTTTATGCAGTTTACTGTGTACATTTAATACCGAACGTTATAATATTCAATCAGGTGCGAAGTATTAAGCGAGGAAGATACAGATTCGGATGAGGACGAAGAAGATAATAGTTTCTCATCTACCAAAGACTACGAACATCAAGTTATTGTTCCCCAGAAACCAATGCTTCCAGCTGTAAATCGAAGCATGGATTGCCAATCAGGATTCACATTTGATCAACGAAGTCTGGCTTGTATTGGTAAAAAGAAATACACTAATATTATGCAACATGTAATCCAAACAAGAAATACTGTTGATTCAATATCGATTAATTTTAAACATAATTATATCTCATTACGATAATTCTTTTTCAGTGTTCCGCGTATTAATTAACACTAGGTTCACGGAATGCGTCAATTTCACGCATACTGAATTTTATAAACATTATCTGGGACATATTTATATCAATTTTGATTTATATAGTTGTATGAATATACATCCTAAGTTTTAAACTTCTAATTTCCAAGATCCAAATAAATGAACATAAACTTTCCCAAGAACAATAGACTAAATTGGACAATGAATGTCCGAGAACCTGATGTTAAAATTAATACAATCATTTACTCGTGCGTTGCTAAATGAATATGAGAAGTTTAATAAATATCAGAAATGTTCCTTTCTTGTAGATGTTGATGAATGTAGCAATGGTTTGTCGAACTGTGGAATCGGTGAACAGTGCGAGAATTTCGAGGGCGGTTATAGATGTTCTCCAGTGTGTCCTCCAGGTTTCCAAGCACGTAACAACACTGATTACTCTAACAGAATAAATGTACTTTGTCATGATATAAACGAGTGTGTACTCGAGTTACACTCTTGCAACACTACAACACATTATTGCGTTAATACGAACGGTTCCTACTTTTGCGACACAAGAACGACGACGACAACCATAACGCCCCTTTACAATGCAAGGCACATTAAAATGCAGGTAAAGTACATGTCGGATAATGTTAATTTTTCGCACTCGACAGCAGATTTTCAATCGCCATTTAATTCGATGCAGTGAAATTATGTTTGATATTTAATGTTAAATTCTATGGAATGTAACAATACACAAAGTATTAGAGTCGGACATTGCAATTTATGAAATCACTTAATTTACGTATGATTTCTCGCTATTTTCGTTGCGACGAGTTCTGAGATATTACTTTTCTATGGCGAAAGAAGTATTGAACTCCGAGCTAATTTTATTCTACATTGAGTGTCTTAATGTTTCCGAACTGTGAAAAACTGAATTGTGTGCATAAATTTGCAAAAATTGTATACAAAATGGAAACAAAAGTTACAAAAAATGCACAAAATAAAAAAAATGAAAAGAAGTTCACAAAAATGGAAAAAAGATCCTCAAAAAACTTCAAGAAGAGTTCTCAGTAGAAATCACAAGAAATGTTTAAAGAGTTCTCGAAAATTCCGAAAATTAATTTCCCAGAGTAGGGTGAAATCACCAATAGTTAATCAGTTAAAATAAATTTTCTACATGAATAATAATAAACGCTTGTTCCTTTATTAAATAGAGTCTCTATGCGCGAAAATGCTGTTTTAACTTACATTATGCAACAAAGAGAACTCTTTTTGAAATAATTATATTATTAAAATTCTATAGACATTTTTGAAAATTCGATACTTGCGCCAGAAGTTGACCATCCTTCAAAACGAGAAAACTAGTAATTGACCATATGTTAATTAGCAGTCGACCTCTTCTAGTAAAATCAAAAACAATGAGGTGAATATTTGGATGATTATTTCAATATCGTTTATTTACAACAATTACGAGAAATTACAAGTAAAAGGATAAGTGCAAATGAACAGAAGTTAATTCTACGTTGGATATTGGATGCAACCAACATCAATGAAATAAATTGTTAGTTCCTACGATAAATAGTTCAATTCAATAAAAGTGTTCCGAAGTTGTGCCTGTCGCGCCTTTATTGAAAGATCATTTCACCCCTTTGCGGGCGGATGTCGGTAAGATAAAATATTTGGAAGACTAACAAATAATTTAACTCTCTATGTGCCGAATTTTGTTTCGTGGTTATAACAAAATTTATGCTGCATGAAATTAACAAATATCAACATACGAACACAAATTAACGATGTACTCAATAGCTTCAATAATTTCATTAAAACGAATATACTTTGTAACTTTGAAGTTACAATGACGTTGAACGTAAACGCCAGTGTGTACAAAACTTTACGTTGATTAATTATTTAATGTCACTCGTCATTTTGCAATAAAAAATTAAATAAATCAATTTAATCCAGTATATTGATGCGTGTCTTCAAAGTCGCACGGGCCTGTAGAGAGTTAATTAGTCCAGCATCAATATATCAGAACGTAGTTTCCTTTTTCCCCATTAATTAACCCTTTGCACTCGAAACTTTTTCTCATTGGTATTACCAGCAATTCCAAGCAATTTTAATAGAAAAAGCATATTTAACATATAAATAACCTATACGCGTATGAAAAGAAAAGTCATAGACATATTTCATTGTTTTCTATCGATTATAGATATAAATGTTACAATATATTTAATAATAAAGTTTCACAGTTTGTAATGATAAATTTTAAGTGGCTCTGCTCCGGAGCCTTCGAGTTCAAAGAGTTAAGCAGCTGATATGTAATTTAGCTGTACATGTTTCGAAGAATCTTCGCCCGCGAAGGGTTGGAAGCCTTACTTTTCACGTTCCCTTGAAAAATGGTCAACTTACTGATACCAGGACGATTACTGGCGGCATCAGCTCATGGATCGTTTCTCATCCCCGAAGTCATGCGAGCGTGGTTACACGAAAGACTTGACAACCGGGGAATGCGTAGACGTCGACGAGTGCGCTGGCGGTCCGGGTTGCCGAGAGCACGAGCAGTGCCACAACACACGCGGCGGCTACGAGTGTTCGCCGCTGTGCACCGCTGGCTGGTATTGGAGTCCGCAGACGAAAGGTTGCCAGGACGTGGACGAGTGCCTTCTAGGTAGGCACGACTGTCCTCAAGGAACACATACATGCGTGAACACAAACGGTTCTTTCCTCTGCGAATTGATACATCCTTGTAGCGACGGCTTCAAGCGCGCCTACAATGGCAGCTGCGTCGATCTCGACGAATGTTTGGAGAACCAACACACTTGTCGATTAGAGCTGCACCAGTACTGCGTGAATAAAAACGGCAGCTACGAGTGCTTAACGAGATTACCCTCGTGCCAGCTGGGATTCGAGTACTCGCTGGCCAGCAGACGGTGCGAGGACGTCGACGAATGTAGCACTGGCCAATACAAGTGCGACTCGAGGTTCTCGGAGAGGTGCGTCAACCTGCCAGGCTCCTATAGGTACGTTTCTGATATATTCTGATGTTCTGATTTATTTTGATAACTTCCCTTTGCACTCGGAGGTACTTCGCTGGAAATATTTTAACATTTTCCGGTGGTAAAGACGATATTTCGTGGAACTCGGAGAGAAATTATATGTACTTTGATATAAGATATTTTGTTTTAGTATTTTTTAAATTGATGAGTTATACGAGGCATAATATTGACACGTTGAATGTTGTGGGGGTCACCGGTGGCCTACGACCAAATCGAATTATTATAACTCAGTCAATAAAACGATCATTATTTGCAAATATTTATATATTACGAATAATGCTATCTAATGCGGTGGCATTCGGCAAGATAAACGTGCGATAACAATAAAACGGTTCAATGAAATAATTTGATATTACATTGTTTTCATTTTGTGCATTTTGCTACGTGAAATCGTGCGGCATTCAACGTGTTAACCCTTAGCACTTCAGGTTGTTTTGTAATCTATCAGCAACTGCGACTAATTTTTATAGTATTCCTAGCGAAAATGAGAAATGCTATAACATTTCTTCGACCTTTATTTTCCTTCTTAGTACAAAATTTGAATATGTAGAAAATCGAATAATTTGAGGGTAGTTTCTTTAAGATTCATTAAAATATTTAATATTATAACTGGTTTAATACTGGAGCCTACAGAGTTCAAGGGGTTAATACGTTGACTGTCACAGTGGTCACCGGTGACTGGATCCCTTTTTATTTATTTAATAAACATTTAAATATCCATATTTTTATTAGCGATTGTAGAGAACATTTTTCGATATGTTCGTTGTTATTTTATTAGGTGTGAAAGACCTGTGCCATCGGGTCAGCGTCAACGTCAGAGGCCAGCCTGTCCTTTGGGTTATAGATACAACCCTCGATTAAGAAGATGCGCAGGTATTTTCAAAAAATTGGTATTTTGAAATCTCGAATACGATTGGTAATATTTATTGATACAATGTTCACGTTGCACCTTTTAGAATTGAAAGTGTAGCGAAGTAATTAAAAGATTAACGGTCCGTCGAAGGAACTGTTTAGTTATCTTTATAAACTAATAATAGATTATAAACTAATCCTTAATGATATGTAACATTTTTTCAGGATGAACATTTTATAACCGGAGTTTACCGTTCTTCGTATATTTACAAATGTAATATATTGTATTTTATAACCGCTTGTCGCGTCAATTGTTCATGTGCATGTCGGTTTGTTCTTATCGGTGTGTATGTGCTATGTTACTTGTAGTTGTATTGTACTTTGACAGTGTCTGTTCCCTTTTTATTGTGCACTCGAACATTTCCGTATGTTTCAATGTAATTTCACATTCTAGAAATAATGGAAAAATTACATGCGCACTTTATCACGTTTTTCTGCGACGAATGCGATTGTGGCAGCATTATTTAGCATATTGGTTGCCAATCTGGTAACGTCAATATGCCTGCAATTATTTATTGCATGAGAAGTTACTGTAGATTATTAACGGAATTAAGATTATATATTTTTTTTAATTCTATCTAATAAAGAAATACACTATACTAAATATAAACATAGATCAAAACAAGGATTGTAACGCAGTATTCTTAATTTAAATAATACAATGCACTTTTCCATTAAGCCAGCAGATTAAGATTTTCTATTGAGCCAAAGGTTAAATTAAACTATCATATAAAATGACAAACAGATTATTGTTACCTATATAATAAATAACATTGAGTGATCCTCATGGATTCCCCTAATTGTAAGTTCTAATTAAATAAACAGTGCAATTAACCTTTGATTTTTTACGCAAATTTCGATTTCGAAATTACAGACAATAAAACAGTAAACCTAAATAGAAATTTATTTCTTAAAACAACTATCGTCGGATTTAAAAGGAATAAGAGTTGAATGAGCATGTTTCAGAAAATAGCTATTAACCAGTTAATTGCGTTTCTCGAGTTACGTCATCTTAAAGCTTGAAATAATACTAATTCTTTCAACGATGAATTCTTTATTTTTCCAGATACATGTAAATCTTCTTTGTTTCGCTTTAGTTTCTCATTAAAATATACCTTAGATGCATTCGACCTCCATTTGACGAGTACACACTTCATTCTTTCATTCTATTCCGCGCGAAACAAGAAATTCCAAACTAAATTCCACAGTTAACAGGTTACTATTTACTGAAATAATCAGTCACGATTTTGAATCTACGAAAACAATGATTCTTCACGATTGTACGAGTCGTTTTCCATTTTTTCATTCTATTCCACGCGAAACAAGTAATTCCAAACTAAATTCCACAGTTAACAAGTTACTATTTACTGAAATAATCAGTCACGATTTTGAATCTACGAAAACAATGATTCTTCACGATTGTACGAGTCGTTTTTCATTTAACAGACATCGACGAGTGCGAGGATCCGAACATATGTAACGGTGATGTCTGCTATAATCAGCCGGGCAGCTACACTTGCGCGAAGGCACCGGCACCGATCACCAGGAAACCGGCCATGTTGCCGTCGTCGGCGAACCAGAAATGCCCCGACGGCACGAAATTCGTCAGGAATCGCGGTTGCATTGACATTGACGAGTGCCGCGAAGTGGAGGACGCGTGCAGCAGTAACGAGGACTGCGTTAATACGGTGGGCAGCTACGTTTGTAATTGCAAAATTGGCTTCAAACGTGACAATCTGACTCAGGCTTGCGTGGACATCAACGAGTGCCAAATACAGGTGAGACCGTCAATACTTCGTTTATAATAATAATTGGTGATTAATTTGCGGGGTGTAATTTGAACTCGATCACCTGACTTATTTCTGTTGTTATTGAAAGTAAGAAAAAATAACTAAATAAGATGACCTTTACAGGATTTGCTTTATCACCATCAGATGCACGCTTTAAAATCATGTATATCCTGTTTAGAGATTTTTTTCTTACTTTCAATAATGATAGAAGCTTAGGTGCTGGAGTTGAAATAAGCTGACCGTATTATTGATTTATAATAATAATTTTATCGAGGGACTTCAACGAATTTCTGTAGTTTCAATCTTCTTAAGGAAATTCGATTAATGTAATACTGGAATTATAGTACCCGCTAAGATGGATGGTTTCAGTTATCTTGTTTTGCAATTGTTAAAATTATAAAGTTCTTCGTATCGCATACTACTTTTACAATTAATGTTCCCGTTTACGAGATACAGTGAAAGTCGCGTGAAGTTGTGGGAGAGCCAAATCTTTTAATTTTTGTAAGAAATTTCGTGACAGTTTTTTTAACTACTTAACCAGTTAATTGCGTTCGGCGAGTATACGCGTCATTTTAAAACGCAAAATGGTACTACTTTTTTCAACGATCAGTTATTTACTTTTTCAAATTAACGAGTAATTCTTCTTCTTTTTGCTTCAGTTTTTCATTAGAATATATTATAGATGTATTTGTTCTGCGTTTGACGAGTATACACTTCATTATTTGATTTTATTATATTATATTATTATATTATATTATATTATATTATATTATATTATATTATACTATATTATACTATATTACATTACTATTAATATCACGATTACGCTATTACAGGAAGACAGTTGTCTTTCAACGCAAAGGTGCGACAACACAATAGGAAGTTACACCTGCACGCGGTTCTTGCCGTGTGGTACGGGATACACTTTAAATGCTGCAACCGAGATATGCGAGGATGACGATGAATGTGTTCTTGGCACTCATGACTGCGGCGAAGGCTACCATTGCAGAAACACCCTTGGTTCTTACCGATGCGATCGTAATCCACGAATGCCGCACGCGCAGCCACGAATCGGAGCAATGACAACGTCGACGACAACGACCACAACCACTACTGTAGCACCGGTGACACTTTCGTTAACACCCGAAGGACCGCACAATTGTCCACGCGGATTTATGCTTGGCAATGGGAACAAATGCGTTGACATAGACGAGTGTCAGGAAGGTGTGAACCCTTGTCGCAGAAGCTTCCAATATTGCGTCAACACTATTGGGTCCTACAGGTATGAAATTCATTCTTTAGAAGCTTCCCCTATAATTGCTTTAATTTATATTAAATTTACATTTCATTTGATTTACATTTTATTTCGCACTAAAATATTTGCGTATTTCAAAAACAAGGACTATTATATCAAAATGGTCCACTTAGGATTTTTTTTATGATTATTGAAAAGGTACAGATGATCTGTAGAATTATTGACTAAATTGACTCAATAATACGGGACCTAAGATTGAAGTCAATTGAAACATTAATGATTGAATTTTTATTATCTACATAAGAAAATAGAAACAGTAAATTTGACTGCTTGATTTTTTAAATAAAATAATAAGTTATATTCAGGTTTTTGGTTACCTTTATACATTTTGATATTGTTCCTTTATGTTCTCGCTGCTTTGTAACGTATAACACTATCAAATATAATATTATAAATAATAAAAATATTTTTTTAACGTATACCACTATCAAATATAATGTTATGAATATTAAAAATATCTTTTTACAAAAATTGGCGTATACCGTATGTGGTACACGTGCCACGGAACGTTTTAAATATTTACTTCTAGTTTCCCTTCATTTGTTAGAATACGATTGAATTTAATTGTCCAGAATATTTATAGTAGTTTTCATTTTCTAATCAAAATATAGGTGCACATCGAGAGTGATATGCAGCAACGGATACACTTTGGACCCAGTGTACGGGCAACACTGCGTGGACATAAACGAGTGCGCGGATGGCAGTCACAAATGTTCACCCGGACAAACTTGCGAAAACAAGATGGGCGGTTACATGTGCAAGTGTCCTCCTGGGCACGTCAACGGACCGAATAACGATTGCATTGACATCGACGAGTGCAGCATCTACGGTAACATATGTGGAACGAGGAGTCGCTGTGAAAATACCATCGGCTCTTTCCGGTGTGTTTGTCAAGATGGCTTCGAGAATGTCAATGGCTTTCAAGGAGTTTGCGAAGTAAGTTGATTTATAATTGGAAAACCGATGAGTTCTCGTACGAAACACGAGTACCAAAACTGAAACATCTTTTTCTATTATTATACAATATCACACAGTTTAAGTGCAATTATCTTTTTGCGAATAGTCATTAATAATAGCAGTCATTTATAATACCGAATTCAAAGATGGCGTCATACGATTAACGTTCAACTTAAATAACTTTCCTTCTTCCGAAGAATCTGATGCTGCCAATTACAAACTTTTCTGCTAGTACTCTTTAATATTCTTCCCCATTCTTGGTTTCTTTTGTATATATTAAAAACGAGGATAGGAAAAGAGTGTTTCGTCATAAGTTCAATACCGAAGAAGCTTCAATTACGATTTTTTCATTTTGAAAACGCATCGAAACGTTTTGGAGATCATAAGGAACTATTTTGATTAGTTTATTCCTCGAGGAGGAAACTGCTTTGTATAATACACAGTGACAAGAGGAATATTCGAATAAAATATTTTATATTCTTACATGATTGTTGTTATCCTAAATTTTAGGATATCGATGAATGTCAGCGCACTCCTGGCTTATGCCAGCACAAATGCGTGAACATCTGGGGTTCGTACAGATGCGTCTGTAACCCTGGATTCAGATTGAGCGCCGACAATCGATCCTGCACGGACATCGACGAATGCACGGAGTTTAAAAATAATAATCTGTGTATTGGACTCTGCGAGAACACGCCAGGAAGCTACACTTGTAAATGTCCTAATGGCTACAGACTTGGATACGACGAAAGGAGCTGTGAAGGCGAGTACATACCTGAATACATTTCTTTAATTCATTGAATAATAAATGAATTATTTATTCCAATATAATTATAAATTATTATATATATATTAAATAATTCATTTATTTCTTTCTACATAAGATAATAATATTATCTGTAAGTGAATGTTTATTTACCTTTGTGAACTAATTAATATCTATTTATATAAATATTATTTATCTGTTTGCTATTCGCAGTAGAAACACCTCGTCAGTCTAACAATGAAAATTATTCTATTATTCTCATTAGTTTCGTGAAAAACAATGGATCTTAGAATAACTGAGATTAAAACTATATTATCCTCGTGTGGAATAAAAGAAATTAAAAGGAATTACTTATTGCCATTTGTATCTTTTGAATTAGTATCAGAGGATCATTTTTAAATTAGTGAAATAGAGAAATGAAATAAAATAATGGAGACACTATTGGACACACTTATTTAATAGTCTGAGGAGGAGATTTTATAGGATTGATTAACATGCCCCGCCATTGCATAGATAAGTCTCGAAGTAATGATGTGAATCACAGACTGTTTTAGCGATTTATTAATGCGCGATTTACCTCCGTCATTCTTGCAATTATGCAGTATAATTTGTACTTGACCTAGTTGTTAGATCTGGGCCGCTAGTTGAATCTTAAATTGTACTTTTGTGCCCTTGAATTGATCGTGACCGCAACGCGTGATTGTCGTTCTACAGGTACACACGATTAATGTACAATAAACTTTGCTTTTATTCAATTGCTTCAATTTTTATTTTCTCAGATATCGACGAGTGCGCGTCGGGAACTGTGTGCAGATCACCGGAAGAGATTTGTCTGAATACTAGGGGTGGCTATCGTTGCAACAGGATTAACTGTCCCGCATCATATCATCAAGACCCTGAGAGAAAGAAGTGAGTGCCATTCATTTTTCTAAGACTTTATAAGTTAAGATTTTCACTTACGTTAGAAAAGAAACTAAAATCTTTTTCATTCATTTTAATTGAATTTATTGAACAGATTTGATTAAAAATCGTGTTTCGTAAAAGCAGGGAAGTATTTAACGCTAGATTCAATTTCATAAATATTATTTGGTAAATGTTTGGGTCGATTTTGATTGATACAACTACGCGAATATGTTTCCCATGCATTCTTAACCTTTTGACCTACAATATCGTGTCAGACTTATGAACATTTTAAACCGAATTTGAAAAATCTAAGTATTCTCTATTTCCTTTAAATATAAATGAAATATTACTTTTCTATTATCAGTCGTTAACCTTTGGAGGAAACATAGACATAAAACAAGCATCAAAATTCTTTTTCTTCCTAATGAATTATTAACGATAAAGTAGTTGCGTCGATCACAGTTAAATTAAATCATAGGACAACGGGTTAAATTGAAAGTAGTGAATTAATTACATTAACAAATGTTCAAATTCCAGCCGATGCGTTCGAAGTAGACATTGCCATGCTGCTGACCCGTCCTGTATCAGGTCACCGTTACATTACTCGTACAATTTCATCACGCTCGTGAGCATGTTGCCAGTTTCGCCAAATAAATCGGAGGAATTGTTTAAAATGAAGGGGTATCCTGCGCCAAGGTCAACGATGCAGTTCAGCATGGCGTTCCTGGAAGCCCGTGCTCCGCCCGGAGTGCAGCGTGCAACAGAATCCTGTTTCGCATTGAGGAGAACGACGCAAACCAGTGTTGTACTAGTAATGACGCAAAGCATACAGGGTCCTCAGGATATCGAACTCGATATAACCATGGAGGTTTACTATGGCGCAATGTTCACAGGAAGCGCGGTGGCGAAAGTTTTGATCTTCGTTTCTGACTACGAATTTTGAAGAACCTCTCGATGTTTTCTTATGCAAATTAACACGTTGAATACCGCACGATTTCATACAGCAAAATACACGAAACGGAAGAAATATAATATTGAATCATTCGATTGAATTGTATTATTATTATTGCAGGTTTATCTTGTTGAATGTAACTACAGTAAGTAGTATTACTAGTAATACAGAAAGGTTTCCAAATAATCGTCGTTTCATTAAATGGACTATAGTATTCCGATTTGGTTGGTTATCGTGACCCCCATGGCATTCAACGTGTTAATACACAGTAGAATCCTCTATAACGTGATTTAAACAATCGTGAGATTTTCCGTAAGAAACTGATATAAGCGTACGATTTTGAAGCAAATTTTCTGTGTTGAAAACAGGTTTTTGCAAATACTTGCAATTTCATTTTAGATAACTATATTTTAGATGTCATATTTCTATTTGTAAGTCCACAGAAATGTTTGTTTTCGGATTGTTCAGTTCTTTGCATTCGAGTCCGGCGACAATGGATGTTTTACGAACAGGGGTTCCGAAGCTAGCGATTAAGTACGCCATGTTGTTTAGCTTAGAAAGAATACAAATATAAAGCAGAATATTACAGTTGTACGACTAAAAAAGCAGAAATCTTCACTTAATAGTTATTAATAAAAAAATTCCTACAATTTACCTATGTTTAGGGCGTAACACGGATTATTTAAATTGTGTCATAGGAGGTTCTACTGTAATAATCAAAACATACTGGGACCAAAATGTTTCTGCCAATTTAAAAAGTTGTCCTAATTCCACGAACCGTTACTGTTATTATTAGAAAAATATTTTTTGTCAAGAATTTTTTTAAGTGAATAACTATATTGTTTATCTTGTGCTCTAATCGTCTTGAATTCATTCTATATAATTAATTTCAAGGCAGCGGTTACTGTTTTAATCCTAAGCTACTACTATTATTAAAGTTACTACATTTTATAATTGACCGTACTTTATTACATCTCGTGTAAAATTGTTTGTTTCTTGGAAATAATTATTAAATGATTTGTCATATTTCTATTTTATGTACAAAGAACGATGCTTAGCTTAAGTAATGTTTAAACCCATAGCTCTTATGAATATTAAGTTACCAAGTGTTTCAGGAACAGATGTAAAAAGGAAATGAATGAACTGTAACAAATAGAGCAAGAATTTTATAATGTATTTTCGGTAAATAAGTAGTTTTATATGTACATAGGGTATATCTAAGAGTGTACACATAGAAAAAAAACGAAATAAAATCACATTAATCGTTTTAAATCAAACTTTTCAGACAGTTGCATCTCGCAAACGTGTGCCTTATGAAAGCTGTAGGTTTATAAAACATTTCAATAATGAAACGTTCATCTTCACCATATCCACTTTTATCGGTAATAATTGTATTATGCCTATGTACACAGGAGATTCTAAACAAATGTACCATATTTAATGTGTAACTTTCTGTTCCTTTTATACGAGTATCAAAATAGTCGACATTATCACACAATCATTTGTAATTAAGTTTCACGCTCTTAACGGTACAAATGAACTGCAATTCTTACGAATTTGAAATTCCAATTGTAAAATATTACATTACATATGGTAAATTCTAAAGATTCTGCGTGCATACATAAAGTAAGAGCATATATGTATGTATATTCTTTGTCACATAACTAATCATTTGATTTTACTCGCATATGATCGATAAGTTAACAAATCTGAGATCCTTAACATCAATTGTCATTTAATTACACTAAATACAGTTGCCTTGAAAAGTAACTAAATGCTTCTATCAATCTATTTTCAATATTACATGCTAGGGGATGATTATCATTTTGACACGAACATATAAGCAAGTGAATAGATATTTATTATCCAAAGTAAGAAATTAAAATTTGGAATTATGAATAATATTTCTAAAAAAAGGTGCTAATTTACTTCGCAAAGCAACTGTATGTGCAATGTACATTACAATATAACATATTGAACAAAAATAAAATATAGTCAGCAGTATATAGTTTAAATCACTCTAGGCAAATAGATATAATTTGCTGGAAAGTAAGTTGCCTTATTCATAAGTGGATACATGAATTATCTTTAGTGGCATTATACTAAATATAATTACAATACTAGAACCAATTACATCATTGAAAGCTATAATACATTAATAGCATCAACAGTGTTGCTAATGTGCATCACAACAAGTCATACAATAACTTAGAGTGATAAGGTAAAGAACTCTGTAACTGAGAAGTAATCTCATGTTTACTCAAGTTTCAGTTACAAGTGCACTGATAGCAGCAAATCGAGATCTATTTTCATGAATTTCTAAGTCACTGACATAGATGCTTTCCATCTTATAATTTAATACACCGTAATAATTATATCCTACTCTTCTATTCATAAGAAAATAGTACTAAGGAGATGTAATTACTAAAATAATTTAATGTTTCTAATGAGAACTTAAGCATACTTCTTTTTTTAGAATAATAACAATTTTACAGATTCGTTTGAAAGATTAGGTTTTCTTAAATACGTGTAAGTAAGTACATCTCATCGAATTTCCTTTCATCAAATAATAATATTCAGACTGTTTTCCTTTTAGTTGAGATCAAATTATTAAATATGTTAGGTTTCATAAATATAAGGAGTCTTCAATAAACAAATATATGTAATATAAAATATTTGATTGCAAGGATAGCATCTGATGAGAATCTTTACAGAAAATTGCCAATGGCAACTCATTAGAGTTAATGATAATAATAAAGACAAGTGCATAATACTTGCAATAGAAATTATAATAGTAGAATTATTAATACATAATAATAAATAATGTTATCTAATTAACAGCCTGAATATAGCAACAACAGGCTACTGCGGCATGAACCGATGGCAGTGGTACCCTTTTCGCCCTTATCTTATTAAAGCGAAAAACGAGAGTGACTAGGATTACTAAGGATCTTTAGACCTTCAGTTAAACACATATGGATAACTGAAAACTTCGTATGGTTCTATTCTCACATTAATTTCAGTAACACTACTGAAAACATTGAAAAACTTATTCATTCATAAATACTTTACTTGCCAATTTGAAGAAAATTTCATCAAAAACATTCGACAACGGCATCGCATAAATGTGATTCGCATCTACATATTCACGTTGTATATACTCCTATGTACTGCTATCTAATCAAATTCCAAAAACTTCTCCCATACAAAGTGCAATCTATTATTTCATCAATCTTTTCAGTCCATCCGAAAACGAAATTTTAAAATCTACCTACATTTGTAAAGTATTTCTGTCCTAAATTTTTTTATAATATAAGCGCAAAATGTTAATTTGTGAAATTATGTTCTTTTTTCTTAAATTTAAGTAAAAAAGACATATTAATAGTGATAGAAAAGACAAATGAATGGAAATGTATCAGTTTGAAATATTTACAAGAGTTTCATTTTATAATTGGACAAGTGAATGTATAGTATTGATTATTAATGAATAAGTGACCAAAATATTTGGCACGAAATTTCGGCAAACAGATCTGTCTCATGTACCAAAGATATTTGTGACGTTAATTCAATAAATGCTATAGGGAAGCAGTTTTAATAAGTATACGGTATTAGAGATTGCAAGAGGGCGTGTATGTTCTCGAAAATAGATAATTTGCTGTCATGGAAGATTAATATGGATAATAATGCGCCACGATCACTCACACAGAAGCAACTAACATGCGGTATATTGTTTTCAAGCCAATTAAATTGGTCCGCGTAATGTTACTTTTCGTTGCCGTTGTACGTCAAACAATGCATGCAATTTGGAATAATTTATAACGAGGCCGTTTAATTGGTACTTCCAGTTTGCTTGCATTATGATAAATTTTTCTCATTTTCTTTTTTCTTTTTGGTTCCAGAAATAAAATTTTTCTAAATCATGTTATTCCAAAATCTAAATTTACATTACACTCAGGCTCTTGTTCAATATAGGCACTTAGATTATGAGTGTTTGGCATCCTGTAGAAATGTTTTTCTTAGCTCATCCCTTTGTATCCCTTTTCACGAGAGTTTCTTTTTTTAGAACACACTTTAATTTTTTTGTCGTTTAAATATTTTTTTTATTACAAAGTATTTTACTACTATGATTGAATATCAGAATAAGTTTTCATTGCTTCAATTTTTGTATTCTTTTTTTTTGTCTGGATCAATCTTGACCATGCCTAATCTAGTATTCTTCGTTATTTTACAGTTTATTGTTATTGTATAATAACAATGTTGAGCCAGAGCGCGCCTTTGTCTGCCCTGATCTAATTTCTTACAACAGTAAGAACATTTGCACTATAACTTATTGCCTATATGAAAACAAATATTTATACTTATAAAATGCTCTTAACGGTTTATCGATTGGTGAAGACATCTCGGAAGCATATTAACTCATCCTCATTATTATAACAATTATATTAAGATGGATATACAATGGTCAAATGTTAACACACAAATTCTGTATTCACTGAATGCAAATTTAACTTACAGAAAACTACTAAATTGTGGGAAATAGTTCCCACTTTAAGTTGCACTTTATTCAAGGTTTTAAAAATAATAAGTAACTGTGCATCATTTTAATCTGAGTCAAGGTACGAATTTGTAGAATGAGTTATATAAAATACACTAAAATAATGTATAAAAATTCTGCTGAAAATTAATTGTTTGTAATGCAGTAAATCGAGAAATTTACTACAATATTAAAATAATACATTAAAATATATCATATTGATATTAAAATAAAAATTATATAAGATTTTTCTATAAGTAATATAGAAAAATAATTAAAAAAATATATATTAAAAATAAAAAAGTTATTAAATTTTCTAATATGTTTGTGAAAAATTGTTTAATTTGTGTATTAACACTTAATAGCTTTTATGCGTATGAACATGCATAACTATAGTATAAAAGTTACAAATTTTTTTAAATTAGTGTAATTGTAACAAGTGTATACACAGTAATCTAATCAATATTTGATTCTTTAGAATTTCAAACTACTGTGCATATATTATTAATGACAGGTTTACAATTAGTAGACCTAATGTTTACCAAATGTAAACAACATAACTGTTTGAAATGGAAGCTTGAACGTATTTGTTTATAGATAATTATTACAAAAGAAACCTGTATAATAATTTCAATTAATTTGTAACAAAAAATTCGACAATACCTTTAATGTTTATAAATTTAACTATATTCTGAGTTTGTCTTACAACATATAAAACATAATGTATCACAACTCTGTAAAAGAAATAATTGTATGCAAAATTTAAATATGGCTTACCCCGTGTTTCCATACATTCATTTAACAATGCCTTTTCTTTAGCTGCATTCATAGTATTCCGAATTTGACTAAATTAATAAACTGAACTATTTAAACATAATATGCTAACAATGCTACCACTATTAAATAACTTTTAATTAAATATTCAATTTTTAAACTAGAGTGATAAGATAATTTCCATAAAGTTTTTTTTCAATTTTCAATATCTCAATTTTGCATATCATGAACTACTTTATGTTAATAACTTCATTATACAAAAATATTTACTATAATGCAAAATTAATATTATATATGATCTTGTCAATATTGCATAGTAAAATATGTTTTCAGAGTAATACTATGTATATGTATGTACACTTTTTAGTAATCCTTAAATACTTTGAATATTTTAAGTATCTTTGGAATTCACAAATCCAAGCAAAATTATGACAAATTTATTTTCTTATCAAATGCAAAATTTCAAGTATCTAAAATATCATTTTTTAACATAATGAACATTTTTATAACACTCCTGTAATAGATTATTTAAAAAATACTCACTTATTGCAAGCAATAAGTTGATACCAATTGCAATTTAAAGTTTTATCTATACACCACCGAAACAACAGAAAATTTTATAGTGAAATAAAGATATAATAGTTACTATAACAATTAATTACTCTAATTAATCTAACCTAAACATGAAAACACCAGTCCTTTAATACATAGGTAACAATGTTTAAGAAACACAATGATAATCGTCGAAAAATTTACGTCAAACTCATATTATCAAATTTAACAAATTTGTTTAAACATTTTTCTAAGGTTGAAATATTATATATTGCATGAATGCAGCTAACAAAAAGTACATTTTAAGTGATTGCACCTATGGAATTTCAATCTTTCGATAAACTTTTCGTTTTCCAATGCGTCTTTGATGGTCAAGCAATCGTATTATTATGCAACTCTGCAAATTCTCTGGAGAGTTTGCATACATAATACAACCGTTCGTAAAGATCACTGGTACAGCCAAAATCTCGTATATCATTCAACCAGTAAGAAGACGTACGCCTACTGGTGTCAATGTAAGTTATTAAATAACCCCTACTGGGTGATTCTTGCGAAACCACTAGTTTCGTGTGGTCCTCAAAGAAGTTTACTTGTAAAAGGGGAACTGTTAGTTCCATCACAATAGTTTTGTCCGTTCGCAGCCATCTTCTCATTCGTGGTATGCAAACATTCTTTGACTGTTTTGGTACAGCCCGATATTCCTTGATTTCACCACCTTGAACAAAATTAATAAACAATTTTATAAAGTTAATTACAGCGTCTACCGTATTAGTGGATTACACTCGAATTTACTGTAGTATATCCGAGTAAATAATATTATAATCTACAAACCATATTTTTTATATAATTGCATGATTTTTCATATAATGTTAATGCATAGTCAACAACAAAAATATTCGAATGTTATACAGCATTAGACGCAATGAATGTTACATAATTCGCATACTGTTAAATATTTAAAAAATTTGTTATATCTTATACATAATTTTCTGGTACTTAACACCAATGTATACAATTTCTTTTAATAATAACTTATTTATTTCCATACTGTGTAAATACTTTCGTTGCTGACTCGTATATGATGACTGTATATTTATTTTTATTACCTTCAGTCATATAATTATCCATGTATTGGGTAAAACGTTGAAGTAATTCGAGTTTCTCCTGCAAAACGGGTGGAACGTCTTCTTCTCTATGGTATCTCGTTACTTCATCTTCAGTAGTCATATACTCCACTCTTCTTTGCAAATAGAAATAGGTTTAAACAAACGAAATGCGATCAAGGAAATATTTAACCCTTTGTACTATTAATCTTACAAATGTTCATGTTGGGTGAAATTAAATTTACGCATGATAGCAGGAAAGCACAAGATAAGTCGAGTCGAAAATTGTGAAAGAGCGAAAATAATCATCAGACTTTTATTTACAGCAGACTTCCTCTTATCCGGCGATGCTTTAAGAGTTTTAATCGCTTGAATCTCCGACCATATTTTCGATAAGAAAATTCTACAAACCATATTTCCATTACTAATTCTAGGAAAATGTATACTGTCGTTCAAAATGTAAGATGAAATTAAATAAAAGATACATTCAAATAGAATTTAGTCCAAAGGGTTGAAATCCATAGAGTATTTCTGAAAGATGGTTGAACATTTTTGAAATTTGTATTATTCACGAATAAAAACATGTACTATCAACATGGGTTTATAAGTTAATTTGATAAAATAAATGTCACATATTTACAAATCCATATAAATTTTGTATTGTCTCGTTTATATTACCAGCCTGCAAAGTTGTAAACCATTTTTCAAGAGTACCCTGTATGATCTTAATAGAGGAAGAAGATACTGACCTTCTGTCATGTGTGTAACTAATTTTCGTGTTATCATTGAAGAGGACGCCAACGGATTTATCCGAAAGCTGGAAGCTTAGGCCGTATTTATTCGAGTAATCGATCCATTTAGTGATGAAGAGAGGTACCACGTCTTCCACAGGCGGAGGATTTTGCATCATGCTCTTGTGATTCATTTCAGAGATGCAAGCTTCCAGTGCTCGATGCATTTGCATACTCTGTGCCACGTATCCCATTTTTTTGTGATCTGGGCACAGTATACTGCTTAATCGTTGCCTGAACTTCGGAACTTTCGGAAGTTTCCTGGCTAGCCAGCTAATCACTTTTGATCCCTTTCGCAGGCTTTTCTGAGAACGATTGGTTTGATGCTGCTGTTGCTGCAACTGATGTTGATGCTGCTGCAGCGGTTGAGATTGTGGGGTGCTAAATGTTTGTTGCTGGTATCGATGCGATACTTCTTGCGACAACACGTTTGGCCAAACCTGGAAGCGTTTTATAAATATGTTTCATGTACTAATGAAAGCATAACTAAAAGGTTGTTTTATTGTTGTTATAATTGGAACCATGAACTCTAAGACTGTACAAGATCAATATTCCGAGAAAATCAATTTTCCTTTTTATCTTCGTTCATTTATTCATTACCTACTTTGTTGATTCTTGCTATAAACATTAGCTACACATACACCCTCAGTACATTTTCAATATTATTTGCTCTCGAGAGGTGACTTACTCACCACTAGCTTTCATACAACTATAAAATCTGATATTTAATATTATACCTCATATGATGCATCAATTTGAAATAAAATAGCTTCGTTCCTCAATATACGTATGATTTCTCTTCGAGTTAGTTCCACAAAATATCCTCGTTATAAAATGTTAAAATATTTCCAGTGAAAAACTTCCGAGTGCAAAGGGTTAAACAGATCTGAGTGAGCTGAAAACGTTTACACCAATAACTCATATAGACAACGTTAAGAAAATGAAGATGTATGCCAGGGCTTGCAAGAATCAACAAAACAGGTAACCAATGAATGAAGAAGAATGAAAAGAAAGATTTATTTTCTCGAAACATCCGTTGGTCGACTCGTGCTGTTTTAGAATCCACATCAATTAGCTGACGAAGCTAATCAGAAGTGTACCTGATTTTTATTGAACTTCTGGTTCCTAGAGGTGGTGGAATTCGATGAAGGCGATGACATGGGATCGATTAACGCCGCGTGTGGCATTTGGTAGCAGCAAGTATGAGGCAAGGAGGCTGGCACGTACTCCTTGGTGAGATAAGCGTGTTCCTTGACCCTCTCCAGGGACGGTCTCAGCTCGGGATTCGGCTGCAGGAGCCATCTGATGAGATCCTGGCCGCTCCGGCTCGCTATCGTGTCGTCCACCTCCCGATAATGATTGTTACATATCCTGTCGTAGGTTTCCTTCAGCGTGGCCGTGTCGAAAGGTGGTTGCCCTACCAGCAGGGCATAAAGTATGCACCCGAGCGCCCAAACATCCGCCTCGTAACTGTACGCCTGCTTATACAACACTTCCGGCGCGATGTAATTCGGTGTTCCGCATATTGTCCTGCGCATACAAACGAATTATTACGATTTCTGTGGGATAAGACGCGCGAGGCAGCGCGTTAATCCCCTAAGAACGCCACCTTTTCTTCTCACAGTTGTCTCCTCCGGCGGGAGTAATTAAGAATGGAGTCTAAACGGAATTCCTTTTTTTCTTTGGATTGTTAATTGGACTCCAGATGGAGGAGATTAGATGTGGGCGTGGGGAATGTTTCGTCTATGCGTTTTGAATTTTTAGTCGTCCCACGGGGAACGTGTGCAAGAGTTTCGGTAACCGCCTGGTTTCGTGGTTGGAAAGAATTAGTGTCATGGGAAGAACTGTGTCAACTACTAGAGGATGTTTGAAATGAGGGGTAAATGTGATTGTGAAGTCTATTGATTAATCCTTTGGTGTATTACTTCGAAGATAAATTGGTGATGGCAAAGTAGTCTTTGCTTTGATTCGTGGACAATGAACAACATTGATTTTTATTAAATTGATCCAGAAATCTTCATCGCGAGTCTCAATCACTGCATGGAAAGGAATTAAGGGGTTTCAACGTATTTATGTTTCACTTTAAAATACGTGACAAGGATATCGTTACGTGACAAGTTTATCATTGGAGATATTATGATACTTCTGGAAAACGTTTATTGAAAATCTATTGTGTAATAAATTTGTTGTGGATTATCATTTGAAGGTATAACAGTGATCACTGAACTGAAGAGTAAGTCTGAATACAATGCAATTATTATTATTCGCAATCAGTATTGAATCTTCATTAATTTCCATGCTTAGCACACTAGTCTCCAGAAATATCAATAAATTGTAAACATTCGTTCACACACAATGTGGTGATATAAGAACATAAAATCCATTTATTTATTCAAATTTCTTCGAATATATAAAATGTATGATCAATCAAATTAAAATTGATAAAACAGTCCAATGACTTCTAATTCCCCTCTTAACTCTGTCTTACACAAAGACAAATGTATGGAATAAGAAAATATACAAAAGCTAATTATTCAATTATCCGTTATAGAGTTGCCTAAATCCTCCAATAAATAATGATGTTATTACAGCAATAACAAACGAGCAGAATGATGGTGCCTGTTATCGATCGTACAAAACGGAACGAGAATAACAATCGCGTGATCGTTGAACTGATGATCTCGATGTTTCGTTTAATTGAACAGATGGTAGGGGAGGACTGTTTTCTTTTAGGTTCATGGATTTTCTACTATTTTCAGAACAAGGTGCCGCCCGAGAACTAGACGGAAATAGAGGGAAACTTACACACGTCTGCGTTGCCCGTCAGGCCTGGTTGCCAGCCCGAAGTCTCCGATCTTGACGATCATGCGATCCGATAGGAACATGTTGCCCGGCTTCAAATCTCGATGAACAACTTTCTGGGAGTGAATATACGCGACCCCTGTTACCATTTGCTTCATGTAGTATCGTGCTTCCGGCTCCGTGACTTTGCTACGGTACTTCAGCACGTGCATCAGGCTCTGCGCAACAAAAATCGGATAGTTTTTATTTACTCTTGTGTACTATTTCGACTTGCTGCTGTATTTAACACGTCGAATTCCATGGGAGTCACCGGTGACCCCCGACTAAATCGAATTACTATAGTTCACTCAATGAAACGACGATTATACGAAAACATTTCTATATTATAAATAATGCTACACAGTACAGTGACATTCACCTAGATGAACGTGGAATAGTAATGCCATTCGATCAAATGTTGTAATATTATATTTTTTCAATTCGGCGTATTTTCCTCTGTGAAATTTTCCTCTCTGTTAACACTAAAACTATCAAGCAGTCAAGTTGACTTTTCAAAATTTTTCCATAGAAACCCCAAGAGTGCATCTGTCGAGACTTCGATCACTCAAAACTTCGTTCGGGTATTACTGAAACAATTTCTTTAGAAATTTCTTAGAGAAGAATACATTATTTTGTCAATAATTGTAAAAGATGAATTTAGGAATGGGTAATTCTGACCTATCTGATAGTTTTAATGTTAACACGTTGAATGCCGCACGATTTTATAGAGCAAAATAGCCAAATTGAAAAGATGTAATATTAAATCATTTGATTGATTTGCATTATTATTATTGCATGTTCATCTAGCTGACTGTCACCGCATTATTTATAATATATAAATCTTTTCAGATAATCATAGTTTAACTGAGTAAACTATGGTAATCCGATTCGGTTGGGGGTCACCGGTGACCCCGACATTCAACGTGTTAATAGTAAAAGTACCAAGCAATTAATACAATTGACATGTAATCCCTATAAGAATTATAACGATAGATTATTTTCAGTTTCTTCAGACATTCGTTATAGTATTTAAGTAAAACTATTTATTTTCTAGATCATTTCGAATGTTCAATGCCTTTAAGATATGAATAATCGTTAAAGAAACAAATCGAAACCAGTGGTTTCGACTGGCGCGGTAGTTCTAGTGTTAATACAATAATAGATTGTTATTTTATACAAATTGTTTTAACGATAAATATTTTAGTTCATTAAAAGTCAGTTTCTGTTTGCTGTTACATACTATTGTGATTTACTGCTGTATTTAAAACAATATTTAATTTAAAACAATAAATTGCTTTAAGAATAAACATTTAATCCATTAATTCTAATTTGTAATTTGTGATTGTACATTGTAAGTATTTCCATTTTATACGATCAGAACGACGAAAGTATTTTAAGAGAAATATTTTTCTGGTTTCTACAGCTTAGGCTTTTCTAAATTCGTTTAGATATCTAATCTCTATAGTTGAAAATTTGATTCCTATTTTCACAAATTACATTTTTCAAAAACTTAAGCGTACAGTGCTAAAAGACACCTTTTAAAAGTGTAACTTGAAATTATTTCCAAAGATTAATCATGTTTCCTCAATTGACTTTTCGATGTTTCCTATATTAATTTTGTTTATCTTTATTATTCTTGAAGGATTGATTAAACAACGAGTAATTTTAATTAACCTAATGATGACAAAATTAATTTCAGATACACATTCTTATTAGATTGCATCGAATTATTTGTTACATTCTATTAAGTAATTCAATAGATTTAAATTAAATTACTTCTTGGTGAAAATAAGTATATGCAAAGCATCGGTATAAATAGTGTCAAAAGGCACCGAAATTAGTTTCTACACGTGGCAACGTCCGTCTGAAACATTTTCTTAAACGAGCAATAATTCAGAAGATAAAAGCGTGGAAAGATTATAACGGGTCACGCTGTATATAAGATACGGAATTTCGTAAGTTATTACACCACCTGTAATGCGTGGAATTTCGTGAGTTCCTGCACCGTGGTCAGAAAGCTTTTAGTAAATTTTTTATCGGTTCACCGGTGAACGAAGCAAGTATACCGGTGAAGTTAATGATTTGAGAAACGGTTAATAATCGAACGATTAGTTGACGGTCCGGCATATCCTAACGGTACAAACAAGTGGACAGATCAGCTGTGGAGAGTGCAAGTACTCGTTTCCTTTCCCGGTCGCACGAGAATACGCGTTACCGAGATTTCGTGCAGCCACGATTCACTTCTAACTGCATTGTAAATATTTTCATCGAATATAATAATCTCGACATCGAATCGATGCGATCCTGGGAAATTATGAATCGATATATACCGACGTATTTCACAAATTTTATTCTCTTTATTGTTCGATTAACGATTCTGTTATTGAGTTATATTCATATTTTACATGTCTGCGGTGTCCTGCGGTTTGCGTTATTTACTTTTTGTGTATTTAATAGAGGTATTATTATTTACTGGAAATCCAACAGGTTACGAGATAATTCAGATAATAACGTTTCTATTATCTGGTAATTATAATAATTAAAAACCCGACATTTCTTAATTTAAGTTTGAGTCCCAATCAGACGAAGCTCATTTATTTCTTTTCTTTTCAATTATTAATTTTTATTTTTATTATTATCCGCTTAGAATTGGAAAAATGTAACGATCGCACTGTGTAAAATTTGTTTTTGTAAAAATAGAAAAGCGTAATTCAGTTTCTGAATTGAATTAGGTCTTAAATCAGCTTGTTTAATCATATCTTAAAGAAGTGTTTGCACCTTTACAGTAATTGTAAAAGTGTACTTCCAGTGTTAATGACACAAAATATTAATGCTTAAATTGCTGTTTACTTTAAATAATTTCGTCGTATATATGCTGAATTTTCTGATGCCAAAATATACATGTCAGCTTACTTTTAATAATAATCACTTTATACTTTATACTTATTACTAATAAGTACTTTATACTTATTAATTAAATATTAAAATAAATGTCGTGTTATATAAGAAAATTGTGTAACAAAAATGTCATTTGTCATTTATTCATTGAATGAAGATTTCTTTGTTGCATGTTTGCCCAATATTATGAGCAACTGTGTACACATATATGCAAGGACAGACCGACTTTAGCAGCAATCTAATAAATTTCACTCCAATACAAAGTGTATGTCCACTCAATACGTTTTCACGAGCTGCACCCGTTGAAAACTATTATTATCAGACATCCAAACGCTTTTCCGAAGGTTTACTCGCTAAGCGTGTCTATTTCAGATGTAGGAATAAATACGTGATCCTTCTAAAGGAACGAGCCATTCTGTACCTTTAAATGGGACACAGATACAGTGCGTTCCAAAAATTTTTGACAGTCTTTAAAAATGCAATGACATGAATATTTTGGTAAAAGATATTAGCATAATGTTATTATGTAAAATACTTCAATGCTGGGCAAACAAATTTTGTAGAAAAAATTTTAACGACTTTAAATAAATAGTTGACCGTTTTATAAATTTTTATTATATGCTGCAACTAGAAATACATTGTAAATAATTTTTTTTACTTTATTAATTCTAATTTTCTTGGCGTTAGTGACAATGAACCTTGCCTGGAAAATGGAAACATTTAAATACTGTGCGATTGGTGCATTTTAAAAAGATACAGTATCGTTACGATGAAATTTAAAGTACATAAAAATTAACTCCAATTCATTTTTCTCTATTTTCCTAATATTTAATTTCGGAAAATTGTAATAAAACCTAGTTGGTGTGTTATTTGAGAAACGTACTGTATTGACACAGTCAAATTTAAATAACATAACAATTAATTCCAATTCCCTTCTTCCTATTTTCCTAATCTCCATTTTCCCATCACTGTTAACAACAATCCATTACCAGTCCATTAACAGTCAGAAAATTTAAATACACTGTGGTTGGCATGTTATTTTCAAAATATGTACAACACTATCAAATTCAAATAACATAAAAATTAATTCTAATCCCTTCTTCCTATTTTCCTAATATCCACTCTCCCATCACTATTAACAACAATCCATTATCGGACAGTCAGAAAATTTAAATACAGCGTAGTTGGTATATTATTTTCGAAACGTACTGTACCAGCACGGTCAGCCTCAAAGCTCGGTCCATTGAATCAGTTCTGGTTGATCTCTCTGACTTAGTTCCACGGGCGAATAGCGAAGGAGCTTTTATCTAACAGGTACGCGAACTTCTCTCATTCTTCGAATACAACGGGGATACCGGGGGGCCGGCACGAAAGGAGAAGGTTGGGAAATTCTTGCGAGCGTATAGAGAGAATGTACCGTAGGAAACTGCGCGGGCAGGTAGGCACGGGACATACGATACCTTTCGAGGACAGGCTTCCAGCAGCATGTACACGTTAAGGTTATCCTCGAAGTAGTGATGCATCTGGACAATATTCACGTGATTCAGCTCCTTGTGGATCATGATCTCGCGCGCAATCTAAAACGAATCGGATCATTATTATTGTTTGCTGTTGCGCACAGCCACCTGTGGAATTCGAATCATTAGCTTAACACTTGAGCCACCGAGCATTTAGCCAGTTAACTGCGTTCGACGAGCGTACGCGTTATCTTAACCCTTTGCACTCGAGAGACGACACTCAGACGCCATTTAATTCGATATACCAAAATTCTAGAAGTCTTCCAGAAAATATTAACTCTTTGCACTCGAGAGGCGACTTCTAGTCCCGATTTGACCCAAGAACATTGTAAAATTTAAAATTCAATATTAAATTTTCTGCAATCTACCAACACGTGGAACATCGAAATAAAATAGTTTCGTCGCTTAATTTATGTAAGATATTGTTTTATATTAATTGTAAAAAATACCATTGATATCTCATCAGAAAATAAGGAATATTTGTTGCGAAAAGTATTCTCGAGTGCAAAGGGTTAAGCTTCGCGTAATCTATGAATATGTGAAATATTGAAATAATTTTGTTTTTAACATTAGAACTACCAGATGGGTTAAAATCACTTACTTCGGATTTCTTCTTTTACAATTACTGAGAAGGTATGGATACTTCTATGAGAAATTATTAACGAAACTAATCCAGTAATAGCAAAACCGAAGTAGAACTCAATTGAAGTTTCAATAAACGCATGCTATGGATTTTTAACACTGGAATAACCATACTCGAATTTCAGTTTTCTTATTTCGTAATTATTAATATCTTAAACGCGTTAAATATTGAAAATATCTTGTAATCAATATACGAAGAAACGGGAAAAAATCTGTTGTTACAATTTTTATAAGGATTACATATTAGTCATGTTAAACGCTCGGTTGTTTTAGTGTTAATAATAGAAAATATGAATTTACTTCGATGTCAAGGTAAATATGTACAAACCTTTTGTATGTGAATTTTCTGCATCCGATTTTTTGGGATTATTTTGCATGCGTATTGGTTTCCGTTGCTGACATCGGTCATCAGGTAAACTCGCGCGAAACCTCCCTGAAAATGCACATAGAATATGCGTAAATAATACTTATTTTATTAATGCAAACAACGTGCTATTTGTTTCAATTTTTATTCGTTAAGCAACTATCTGTAGTTGATTAAATTATAATTGTTCGGTAATTATATACGCTGAACTTATTTAGTTATAAGTTTATGATATCTATATTTAATAGAAATTATCGAGAAAGAAATAAATATTCAAAAAATTCTCGATCTCTTCGAATTATTATTAAAATATTGTTTATATACTTTTCTCGATCTTGTCAATGTCATAGGTGCCATGGTGATAATTACAAGTGTATGTGATTGATATACGCGTCCCTTAACATCATTCAATTTGATAACACTAAAGAATTACAATTACAGTTTAATTACAACTTAATTGCAGGAATGAATGTAATTCATTCATTGAACAAAAAAATATTCCGTCCAAATGGAACATTTTGGCTAACAGTATTTAGCACGCAAAGGGTTAACACGTTGACTGCCACGAAAAATCAGCGTTATACGTATCACTTATTCCTTTATAATAACGATAAAAAGGAACAATTATTAATTATTTACTAGTACAATTCTTAAACTGTAATCTAATCATTTATGCTATTGAACATTTTTATTCGACATCAGTTCTCTCATGAATTATAATTAGTTTCAAGTCATTTGAAGCTCCAATCTCATGGGACCACTATGGCAGCAAAAGTGTTAACCCTTTGCACTCGAGAGGCGACTCCCAATCGCCAGATGATTTGATACAGAAAAATTACAAATTTTTATATTTACAATTAGCCTTTGTATACTGCCTCGATACGTGGAATATTTGAAAGAAAATAGCTTTGTTAACTAATTTACGTATGATTTCTTGTTAAATTCATTTTAAATCTACATCTGATTAGAGAAAGTATAGAATATTTCAAGTGAAAAACTGTCGAGTGCAAAGAGTTAATAAATTTTCCATCGTATTGCGTCCTCAGCGTCTAACCGGAAAAACGCAAAGCTTCGCGAAAATAACGAAACTAGAAATGGCGGATTCCCGAAACGTTTGCAGCCGCCTATAAGTATCAACGTTTCGCTGCCAAGTTTTGGAACGCCCTGTATAGTAAATAATCCCGGGGAACGAGAAAAAGGAACGGCCGGGGCACACGGAAAGATGAAAGATAAAAATGACGGTCGTCGGAACGAGGATCTCAAACTAGATTCTACAATTTCTCCCGTAGCATCCGTTTGGCGTTGCCGGAGTGAAAGGTTTTCCTTCCTCTCGGACCGCTTGCTTTCGTTCCTCAGGAACATCTTTCAATTATCGTTTATTGCTTCTCCGCGGCAGATTTGCTGGTAATGAAAGTAAAAACAGTTTCCACGACAACGCGCCACTTCGTAGGTTTTGCAAATCACGCTTCTCTCCGGCGCGGAAGCTTTATTACCTGGACAGATGCACGCGGCAGCCGGCGCAGCGACACGGACAAGACACCCAACGTTTATTTTGCCCCGGTATTTCGATAAAACGAAGAGCGACCGCGTATTAAAATGTTTGTTGTGACTTCTATACCCGGCGACGCAAAAAATAGACATTAAACTTTCATTATAACAATTCTGTTCGTTTATTATTGCTTTCAGGGTACACTCTTGGCTGAAAGTATTGGAGCTCGCTGGCTGCCATTGAAGCTGTGCGACAAACGAACCGTTTGTTTCGAAAGTTGCTCGAGTACACTTAAAAAAGATAAAAAATACTATTAACCCTTTGCACTCGAAAGTTTTTCACTTGAAATATTCAATACTTTCCAATTAGACGTAGATAAGATTCTTTAAAATGAATTTATCGAGAAATCACACATAAATTAGGGAACAAAGCTGTTTTCTTTCAGTATTTCACGTATTGATGCAGTATACAGACTTAAATGGTAAATATAACAATTTATAATTTTACTGTATCGAACCGTCTCGCGCCTGAGAGTCGCCGCTCGAGTGCAAAGGGTTAAAGAATGAAAAGATTGTGTAGAATTGTAAGTGTTACAACGATTAACTTGATTTTTTTGAAAAATGGACTTAAGCTTTTGAAATGAATATATCAATTCTTATTCTCAGGAAAATGTAAAACGTTACTAATTTCGAAATTTTACCGTTACAATTCGCAACATTTTTCGTTCCTTCCATCAGAATCTTCTTAATCGTACGAGAATCTCGTATCTCGCATGGCTTTCCCTCGTAAAATAAGAAAACCATAAAAAATATGTTTCTCCGTCATTTCTCCTCGCGTCCGTCGAAGGAGAAACAAAATGATTACAGTCATCCGTCCTCGTTTTAAATATCGTTCTCGCGTGTAAAACGTTTTCCTGCGGTATCGGTGACGAATGATAGACGCGATGGCAATAAAATTTGGATAGCGCCCGGAAACACGAGAAGATTATACGTCGCACATTTTTTGTTCGTGTCCATTACGAACAAAAATGTTTTGCTTATATTTGCTTTTATGTTTCTGAGGCATCTATTCTGAAGTAATAATTGATGGTAATCATATATTATTACCTATTCTAATCTATTCTATAGAAAGAAATTGATAATTTTCACGATTAACTTGTCAGACTCGCGACGAACGTTTTAAACTGAATTTGAGAAATCTAACTATCATTTATTTTATTTTAAATGTAAATTAAATATTACTCTTCTATTACCCATCGTTAACCTTCGAAGTAAACATAGATATAGAATAAGTACTCAAATCTGTTATTTTTCTAATAAACTATCAACGAGAAAGTAGTAGTATCGATTACGATTAAAAAATCAATCATACAACAACATATATTAACCCTTTGAACTCGGAAGTTTTTCACTAGAAATATTTTAGCATTTTCTGATGAGATAAAATCGATATTTTGTTAAACTAAGTCGACGAAAAATCACGCGTACATTGAGGAACAAAGCTTTTTTATTTGAATATTTCTCAAAATGATGCATTATAGGAAATATAATATTAAATATCAAATTTTATAATTTCACTCTATGAAATCAAGTGGTGAGTGAGAGTCACCTCTCGAGTGCAAATGGTTAATAAGAGTCACAAGCATTTACTTTGTTCCGTGCACAGAATCCAACGAACTGCTCAATTGTCTCAATCTAGACCAATCTTTAGCCGACGAATCGGCAGACGAAAACAGAGACGAGTAATAACAAAGTTCGTCAGGCGATACCTCGTAAATACGCGGGCGTCGGCGTTTCCACGGGTTAAAGAGGGGGTGGCGCGCGCGCGTGCACACTCCGCAGGCCGATCGCCAGAATAACTCGCCCGAAAATATCCCTCCGACATTACGAAAACGCCTCTCGGCTGTCGCGGCTGTGTCGTCACGCGATCGAATAGTACAGAGCTATCCGTTCGACAATACTAGATGCAGTAGTTACGGTGGCCAAGAAGCTAAACGAAATTTTTCAACCCTTTGCACTCGAAAGCTTTTACATCGATCGTTTTCCGCATTTGAAACACCGATCACTGAACTGTCGATCTTTACAAAATTTCAATGTTTAAGAATATAATTAGGAAAATGAGTTTTCCTAAAAAACATTGTAGAGAACAGTACATTTCATAGATTTTTCATATTCTTTCGTGTTATGAGCATTCCGTACAATGTTGAGTCCATTGGTCACATTTTTTATAGCTCAAAGGGAAATGATATGAATTAACACTAGAACTACCGTACCTGTCAAAATGACTGGTTTCGATTTTTTTGTTTATCATTTATTGATCTCTTGGAAGCATTGAATATTCGAAATGATTTTGAAAATAAATAGTTTCATTTGTATACTATAATGAATGTCTGAAGAAACTGAAAATAATCGATTGTTACAACTTTATAGGAATTGCATATTAATCGTATTAAATGCTCGGTAGTTCTAGTGTTAAGAAATATAACTTTATATTCCAATATTTCATTCATTAATACGTTATGTTCGTTAACTTGCAAAATTTAATATTAAATATCAAATTTTCCTTTTTAAACGAATTAAACGACAAATTGTTCTTATTAAAAATAGAAAGAAAAGGAAATACAAAAAGTTGAAAACGGTCTAATCGGACAATACAAAAACTGGTACAACATTAAATGCCTGGAAGACAATGCAGAATTGATAAAATTTGAAAACCGGTCGTGGTTCATTTAGCATTCACTTCTTCAGGGTCGAGTTCTGTTTGAGAACAAACACAAATGATTCCAATTTTCATTTGATTACAGTTTATCTTACGGAGGCGTTTATGAAAAACATTAATGTTAATGTTAGACTAAAATCAAATATACACGTACGTGACAGTGTCTTTGAAAAGGTTAACAAGTTGACTGCCACGAGAAACTTCAGCATTTTATGTATCACTTATTCTTTTGTAACAGAAATAAAAAGGAATAATTATCAATTGCTTGGTACGTAATTATTAGGTTACACTATGATCCAGTTATTCACGTTATTAACCCCTTGGCCTATGATTTCTTTCTCGACTCTGACCGATACGGCTGCTTTGTCATTAAGAATTCATTGGGAAAAGAGACAAATTCTAAGCATATGTTATGCCTATATTTCCTTTTAAGTATAATAGTTGATTACAGAGGAATAATATTTACTTTGAATTCGAATGAACTGAATAATATATATATATTTGTTGAATCGTGTTGAAAATCTTCACCACGAGTCTCACTCGTTGTTGTAGGACAAGGGGTTAAACATTGTCATCCGACGCCAGTTATCTTATGAATTACAATTGTTTTCGATTAATTTGAAAACGCCAGTCATCGGTGACCGCCATGGCAGTCAACGAGTTAACACATTGCGTACCGGCTAATTCTCAGAAAACTGAATTGTGCGGATGGCAATTTTCACTGAGGTCAACTTATATCACTATACATAGAAAAACTCAGATATCATATTGTTATGTAATATATTTTAAATAGACAATCAATTCGAATTAAATTTTATATTTTTTTCAATGCTGTGCTAATTAGCAAAGTCCCATAGCTAAG